TTTTTTTTTTTGTTAAAAGAATGAAGAGTAGTATTTGTTAGAAATTTGCTATGAGAATGTATAATTATTAAATAGCCAAACAAAGACAAAGGGGACGTGAATACACAGGTAACCTATTTATTTTAAAAAGAAGCGACAAAATGCAAAGAAATCATCGGACGACCCGAATTGCATAAAACAATATCGGCAGTGCATTTTTAAGCGAAAATCAGTGCTTCCAACTAGGATACAACACAAAACAAGACGAAGCATTCGACCAAGCCAACTTCAAACGGATACCAATCGACTTCTTGTGGTTTGTTTTGACGAGGAAGTGCTAAAGGTAAAATTGAGAGAGCACAAGTACGAACTCGAGAATGGGCCACACTTCCTCGCATAAGTCATTACTTGTGAGCAATTGTAAATTTAACTCTTTCTATATCTTGTATTCAATTTCAATATACTTTCGCATAAATCATAGACTTCATGAGATCCGACTACACGATGTCCCTATTTATATAAATCCTATCTTCGTCGAAGCAAACCCAGACCTACTGATGGTCTGACCTTCACTCCATCGAGACGATTCCAGGCTTCCAGTTTGGAAAGGGCAGAGGTGAGGGAAGATAAAAAAAAATTAAAAAACATGTTCGTAAAACTTAGTTCCTGTTCGTTTTCTTGATAAATTAGACTATTTCCTTTTATTAATTGATCGTTACAGTGACCCGTGTTACTAATACATCAGTGCTCTTTGATTTTTTTAGGTATTTGTTTTTTTTGAGACTAAATTATATAAGCAATCTAGTCTATAATCAGTCAATTTGCAACACAATTTTGGCTCGGTTCAATCTCAAAGAATGAATATCAAGAAATTTGACTCAAGATTTAATGAAGAGAGTAAAGAAGGATTTATGAGGTAAGTACAAAATTGTGAGGAAAGGTCGCTAATCGGTAGTAATAATGATATAAGAATTGAAAATATTTGCAATGAATGTTTGAATGTTTTACACTGTATTCCTTTATTTCTTTATTTATTTTATTCTTAGTGTCAAATTATATGTTCGAATATATTTTCAAAGCAGAATAAAAAAAAAATCAAAGAATTTTAATATAAATTACATCTCAAAGGAACGCGTTGGCAATTTCTACTTGTATGCAATAATCGAAGAAACAACTAATTTTTGAAAACATGTACTTATATAAAAATCAGAAAAAGCCCTCGCTAAAAATTAATAGAGTAAAATAAAATACGCTTATAAATAATTCGTAATTAATTATCACATAATTAAATGTTTAAAATATAATCGTAATTAATTATAAATATAACGATAGCTCCGATGCTTACCTTCAGTAACATTTCTTGGTTCATGCAAATTTTACTTTATTGATAGATTGAAATTTGTAAAATTCTCGCTTATTTTACCGTAAATACTATTAATTAATATCAGGTCTGAGATCTTTAGCATCCCAATATTTTTCAATTAATATTTTGTATTCTAAGGCAGTTCCTGGAACTATTTTTGACCTCATTCCATTGATGTTAGCAAAAGGTCCCGTAGCTTCATTAAATGAGACTTATGTAATAGAGTGACGTCTTGGTACGTCACTATATTACTTCATATATACGTCCGGATGAGATTTCCCACATATAACAAATTTTTTGATATTATCACATAATGACATCTATTATTTTACTTGATTAAAAAATTGTGTTAAATTTAATTATAATTCTGTATTATTAGTAGACACATTTGTTATTTACATTAACTTCGTGATTGTAGATTCGCAACCTTGTCCGTCATTTTCTTTGACTGTGTCTGTTAGTGTTGCCTGCCGTAAATAGTTGTAAGTCTAAAAATCAAGTAATTATAATGGTTGTAAATCAGAATTATCATCTTTTAGTTAACCACAATAGCATAGTATTTACAACAAAATTACAACTTATGTTTATAATATTACAACCCGCTTAGGTTGTAATTCGAAATATAATAATCAATACTTACGGCACGCAACCTTAGTGTCTGTCTTTGGCGTTATAGATTGATTTATCGTATAAAACCAAAAAATAAAGATTTAAAAAAAGATGATAAAATGATAAAGAGCAAGTCAAAAATTTAGATACATTATCTATTTAACGAAATAGCAATTACACTGCATATGAAAATTACAAAAATATAATGTATTATAATGATATCAAGGAGATAAGGTAAGTTGACAACGTTACATTTATAAACTTGCATTTGTAGTTCATCTAAGTCGAATGGTTGATGAATCTTTTTCCAATAGCAAATGGAATCAAAGAAATTAAATTCATTTTTTACAATGTATCATATAATTTTATTAATTGATTTGGGAATAAATAATTAAATCTTTAATTACGTTAGTAAAATTACACTACAAGTCTACGATAAGAGAATGATACTAGTGATACTGCTGCCTTAAACTGTCTGTCCATAGGCCATAGCCAATTTTTAAATAATTTGTATACCAGTGCAATTATTTATATTTTTTTTGATAGCCGTAACGCGCTCATAAATCACGTGATATAGCGAATGCTCTCCAATGATATTAAGGAAATACTACCCTTTCTCGAGGTTACAGCTTTTCGATTGATTATCGCCACATATAAGTGAATGAAGGAAAGGTTATGGTTGAGAGCCTGTCTCTTATACACATCTAGATGTGTATAAGAGACAGCGTCAAGCCTGACGTTTTTTAACTAAAAAAGTCATTTTTTTGTTTTTTTAATTACAAAAACGTCAAGTCTGACGTTTTTAATAAAAAAATCAATTTTTTTTATATTTAATTATAAAAACGTTTGATGACCCTACCCAAAATTTTTTAGTCAATCTGACAGTATAATGATTATAACTCACTAATAATTACCAAGTTACTCTAGTTTAAATAAATATTTTTTATACAATAAAATGGGTTTAAAAACTTATAGCAAAAATTTAAATGCATTTTAATTTTATTGAAACAAGAGGTTCCTAGCAATTTATACTATATCATCATTATCTCATTAAATATTTAATAGTAAAAAAAAAATTTTTTTTTTAATAACTCTCATTATAAAGCGAACAAGCTTTCAAGTAATTTTAAGCGAATCACTGGACCGTATGGTCCGATGATCCGGAAAGATCATCGGACCGGATACCGTAAGGCATAACCTTAAATAAAGGTATGAACAGTATTTATGAATTGGATGCAAACTTTTGAAAGTATTTTTAGTTTTAAAAGATAATTGTTTATCCATTGATAAATTTTTTACTACGATTCACAATGTAAATGTGCGTTCTATCTGGAATTCCCCTTTGATATATGCATTTTGTAATTTGTAATTTGTATGACATACGGAAAATTTTTTGCCGGTTGTACCAATCTTTCATGAGGAAAAAATTGAAAGACTGCATGATGTGCATGATGTATATCATTAAAAATGAAATAATGAGCCAATTCAAAGAATTTTAAATTTTGAATATCTTTTAGGCATCATGTATGTCGTTAAAAGCAGTTCATTTAGATTCGTCAATTTTAATATAAATACAAGAGCTTTTCAAATTCTTTCGTCCTCATATCAAGTTTTAACGAGGAAAAAAAAAAAATTTTTTTTTCAACAATTACGCTACTTTATACTCTAACCCTTAAATCATTTGGTTGTATCCTAAAAATTGAGTGCTAAGAAAAGGACGAATTTCTTTGGGAAAAATATTCTCTAACTATATTTGATAACATGAAACACAAAATGAATTGAGGTATTTTCCGATATTTCATATTTAACACTCACGTGTATAAATTATATTAGTAAATAATCTGTAAAATAAAATAAAATTTCGGATTTTTCCGTAATCAACGGAATAAAAAATAAGAATTGATATTACACAATTCAAAGGCGCAAAAGAATTGATATTATACAATTCAAAGGCGCAAATAATTGATATTACACAATTCAAAGGCACAATTAATTGATATTACCACCTGATGCACGCATGATTTCATTTGCAATACAACAAAATTTTTAAAAATATTTTATATAATACAATATATATATATAATATAATATAATTGTTGCTTTTGCGTCATTGAAGCAGATGACACTGCACACAATGTGATACAAGGATTTGTCCACTCGGGAATTGGAACTGGGCGTACCAATTGAATTGAGCAAGAACGATCTCAGAAATTTCCATTGTTCATTTATAATGACTTATCATTGTTTCCAGTCTCTTTAATGAGAAACAATGATAATTCCGAAATTAATGAGTTCGTGAACTTGTAACCAGTCTTCCTGAAAAATTCATTTACTTAGATTTATTATAAACATTTTATTAAACATTTGATAGTGTAAAATAGTTTTTAAAATGTTAAAATATTTTAATAATTATTGTATTTAAGTTATACGTAAATTGTATAAAAATCCTTTATAAAATAAAATATATATATATATTTTTATATTTGTTAAATAAGAGAAATAATTTTTTTTTTTTTTTTCTAAAAAATCATTAATCCAAATTAAGAATGAATGACTTCTCGATCGATTATCATTTGACTGTCTTATTTGCTCCAAAAAAAGATAAAAAATAATTTTAGCTTATCAAATAAGAAATGCTTTATTCGTTATTACCCCATATGGATTACTGAGAAGTAATATAATTATGCATGTTAATAATCTTTGTGACTTGTGTCACCAAAAAATTGTCAACCTTTAATTCTAATTATCTCCGATCCAAGTACTGTAGTACTGTAGTATTATACACGAATAAGTGAAAATGAATATTTCATATGACCTTTCAATGAATATTGACGACAGACCTCTGGGCTAAAAAGTTAAAGATAATCCTCAACAATTTACTATCTAAAAAATTATATAAAAAGCCAAGTGTTTTCCCTACCTTTCAATCATCATTATCATCACAACAAAAAAAAAAGTCCTAAAAAAAATGGCCGATCAAAGAGTATATTCTAGTCAAGAAGTACGTCCCAAATTTTTTTTTAAAAAAAATAAAAAAAATTTATTAAATTATTATTTCTTTCTTTTCAAAAAAAAAAAAAAAAAATTTATTTGTAGTATGATAATGATATTGAAAAATATATGAAAGAAGTTAAAGATCATCCAAAACGCTTCACTCTAGTTAGTAAACAAATGGGTAACCGAATTAGTTCAAAAAAAATTCGTCAACGGTAAATATATTTTATTATAATTAATTCTAATTTTTTTTTTTTTAATGAAAAAATTAATTGTTATTGTTTATAATTTAGTTGGATAAATAAGCTCAATCCAAGTCGTAAGTACATTTTACCTTTTAAAATTTTCTTAATTTATTATAATTTGATTTAAAAATGATTTTCTAGTTTGTCACGATCCTCTTGATGAAGAAGAAAAATCATTCATCAACAAATGGGTTGAAAATTACAAAAGTCAGAATCCATCTGCTGACAAAATCCCTTGGAGTAAATTAATTCTAGTTATGAAAGAAGAGTTCGGCAAATTACGCTCCGAAAACAAAGTAAAGAATTATTGGCACCCTCAACAAAGGCAAAGAGAAAGAAATACAAGTCAAGGTCCTTTCGGAATTAATCACGATACTCAATCTAACAATAGTCAAGATCTTTTCGGAATTATTCACGATAGATCTAACAATGATCAAGGATCTTCCGAAATTAAAAAAGATCCTAGAATGGAAATTTCGCATTTGATAAATTAATTTTTTTATGTAAAAGAAATTTATGATGTTTTTTATAATTAGCATATAGTACCCGAGTCTTATAAAGTGAGGGTACGCAAAGGGGGATACTATATGCAGTACTAGGCGATAAGATAAGGTAATAAGTAATAAAGCAATTAAGGTTTATAAAATTATTTCTAATAAAGGTGTTTTTTTTTGTTATTGTTGTTTTTCTTGATAAATTCTACTTCATGATCATTTTAATAATAAATCGCGTATTATTTTGAAAATCATTGCGTCAAATCATCCCAAAATATAGTTTGTATGAAATCAAGAGTCAAATTAATCATCATATTCTCGAAATAAATATATACTGTAATCACGATTTTCTCTCGTGAATAAAAGAATCTAGAACATTCGTAAAATGCATTGATTGAGTTGTGTTAAACATCATGGCGGATTTATGAAATACCCCAAAATTTGTCCGTCATGTCAAATTAAATAAATATTTGACAGTATTTTAGTCACCAAATTTCTATTTGAGTCCCAACCATTTATTATTATTGAACAGTCAAAAATGAGCTCTAAAAAATTTTTTTGTACCCCAAATCTTGCGCCTAACCAATTTTCCCATTATCTAACCAGTTTTTTCAGTGTTAAAGGCGCGTCATTATTTGACATTTTTTAGGAAAAATGTTTCTATAAGTCAATTTTAATTCCCGAGGGCGCAGCAGGTTTTTGCCAAATTTCATCATTTCCCATTTCGTGTGCTGGAAATTTAATATTTTTAAATTTCTAGTTTTCATTCCAAAAAACTCCGATATGTGATTAATTTTCTAAAAAATTTTTTATAAATTATAATAGTCCAATGAATGTTAGTCAGAGTGCATGATGTATTTATAAATATTTTTAAGTTTGACCATTTGCACCTAAAATAGTCCGGTTCTGAGTATTTTGTATGGTGCAATTGGTGCATGGTCAAAATTAACCTAATTTTTACCATTACGCTCAGGCATATGGTTTTTTTTCCCGGAAATAATCATCTTTAAATGATAGAGTACTTAAATTCTGTATTTTTGATCATTGATTCGCCTTCTCATGACTTTTAATACGCTGTTAGTAATCTGCAGTTGGTTTTTTCACCATAAACCATTTAGATTAGTAAAGGATTTCAAAGTTGCAGTCAGATATAAAAGAGAGTATAGTCTGCCCTCATAACAAATTTGACGACTGGGTCGATCAGGAGAAAGAAATAGAATAATTGGGTATAAATTTTCGTTATATTACTGATATCTAAAAAATACTAAATTTGTTATTAGATTTATTATAAAAATTATGCGGTTTTTGGTTTTAGTTCCTAAATTTTTAATATTATTATACTATTATATTGAGCCTCTTTAAATTTCCTAATTAATATTTAAAACAATTTTAAATTAATTTACTATCCATTTTTTAATAAAAGTGTTTCATTTCGCTTTGGTATATTCATAAAAATTCAGAAAAATTCGGTATAAAAAAAAATCTGTTATAGAACAGGTTCATTTTTAGATATGCCCTTATTCACACATTTTACTTAAAATTAAATGTTAGCCGAAAATTAAATTTTCGGTTTTAACGAGATTTTTTTTTCGTAGTTCAAAATCTGTACGATTGATGACTTGCCCTCCCATAACTCCTCCCATTTGTGGGACCGTCTATTTGGCATCATAATAAAACCATACGATGTAAATACTTGCTTCAAATCCTTGCTATTATCTAACTTGAGAATTTCGATTTTTTTTTTTTGTTAAAAGAATGAAGAGTAGTATTTGTTAGAAATTTGCTATGAGAATGTATAATTATTAAATAGCCAAACAAAGACAAAGGGGACGTGAATACACAGGTAACCTATTTATTTTAAAAAGAAGCGACAAAATGCAAAGAAATCATCGGACGACCCGAATTGCATAAAACAATATCGGCAGTGCATTTTTAAGCGAAAATCAGTGCTTCCAACTAGGATACAACACAAAACAAGACGAAGCATTCGACCAAGCCAACTTCAAACGGATACCAATCGACTTCTTGTGGTTTGTTTTGACGAGGAAGTGCTAAAGGTAAAATTGAGAGAGCACAAGTACGAACTCGAGAATGGGCCACACTTCCTCGCATAAGTCATTACTTGTGAGCAATTGTAAATTTAACTCTTTCTATATCTTGTATTCAATTTCAATATACTTTCGCATAAATCATAGACTTCATGAGATCCGACTACACGATGTCCCTATTTATATAAATCCTATCTTCGTCGAAGCAAACCCAGACCTACTGATGGTCTGACCTTCACTCCATCGAGACGATTCCAGGCTTCCAGTTTGGAAAGGGCAGAGGTGAGGGAAGATAAAAAAAAATTAAAAAACATGTTCGTAAAACTTAGTTCCTGTTCGTTTTCTTGATAAATTAGACTATTTCCTTTTATTAATTGATCGTTACAGTGACCCGTGTTACTAATACATCAGTGCTCTTTGATTTTTTTAGGTATTTGTTTTTTTTGAGACTAAATTATATAAGCAATCTAGTCTATAATCAGTCAATTTGCAACACAATTTTGGCTCGGTTCAATCTCAAAGAATGAATATCAAGAAATTTGACTCAAGATTTAATGAAGAGAGTAAAGAAGGATTTATGAGGTAAGTACAAAATTGTGAGGAAAGGTCGCTAATCGGTAGTAATAATGATATAAGAATTGAAAATATTTGCAATGAATGTTTGAATGTTTTACACTGTATTCCTTTATTTCTTTATTTATTTTATTCTTAGTGTCAAATTATATGTTCGAATATATTTTCAAAGCAGAATAAAAAAAAAATCAAAGAATTTTAATATAAATTACATCTCAAAGGAACGCGTTGGCAATTTCTACTTGTATGCAATAATCGAAGAAACAACTAATTTTTGAAAACATGTACTTATATAAAAATCAGAAAAAGCCCTCGCTAAAAATTAATAGAGTAAAATAAAATACGCTTATAAATAATTCGTAATTAATTATCACATAATTAAATGTTTAAAATATAATCGTAATTAATTATAAATATAACGATAGCTCCGATGCTTACCTTCAGTAACATTTCTTGGTTCATGCAAATTTTACTTTATTGATAGATTGAAATTTGTAAAATTCTCGCTTATTTTACCGTAAATACTATTAATTAATATCAGGTCTGAGATCTTTAGCATCCCAATATTTTTCAATTAATATTTTGTATTCTAAGGCAGTTCCTGGAACTATTTTTGACCTCATTCCATTGATGTTAGCAAAAGGTCCCGTAGCTTCATTAAATGAGACTTATGTAATAGAGTGACGTCTTGGTACGTCACTATATTACTTCATATATACGTCCGGATGAGATTTCCCACATATAACAAATTTTTTGATATTATCACATAATGACATCTATTATTTTACTTGATTAAAAAATTGTGTTAAATTTAATTATAATTCTGTATTATTAGTAGACACATTTGTTATTTACATTAACTTCGTGATTGTAGATTCGCAACCTTGTCCGTCATTTTCTTTGACTGTGTCTGTTAGTGTTGCCTGCCGTAAATAGTTGTAAGTCTAAAAATCAAGTAATTATAATGGTTGTAAATCAGAATTATCATCTTTTAGTTAACCACAATAGCATAGTATTTACAACAAAATTACAACTTATGTTTATAATATTACAACCCGCTTAGGTTGTAATTCGAAATATAATAATCAATACTTACGGCACGCAACCTTAGTGTCTGTCTTTGGCGTTATAGATTGATTTATCGTATAAAACCAAAAAATAAAGATTTAAAAAAAGATGATAAAATGATAAAGAGCAAGTCAAAAATTTAGATACATTATCTATTTAACGAAATAGCAATTACACTGCATATGAAAATTACAAAAATATAATGTATTATAATGATATCAAGGAGATAAGGTAAGTTGACAACGTTACATTTATAAACTTGCATTTGTAGTTCATCTAAGTCGAATGGTTGATGAATCTTTTTCCAATAGCAAATGGAATCAAAGAAATTAAATTCATTTTTTACAATGTATCATATAATTTTATTAATTGATTTGGGAATAAATAATTAAATCTTTAATTACGTTAGTAAAATTACACTACAAGTCTACGATAAGAGAATGATACTAGTGATACTGCTGCCTTAAACTGTCTGTCCATAGGCCATAGCCAATTTTTAAATAATTTGTATACCAGTGCAATTATTTATATTTTTTTTGATAGCCGTAACGCGCTCATAAATCACGTGATATAGCGAATGCTCTCCAATGATATTAAGGAAATACTACCCTTTCTCGAGGTTACAGCTTTTCGATTGATTATCGCCACATATAAGTGAATGAAGGAAAGGTTATGGTTGAGAGCTTTCAGTTCCACCAAAATGCTCTAGCCTTCTTCACCCAGCCGATTAACCCAATTGATCTGTCTTGCCAAGGATTCAAGTTTTTCGTGAAGATTTTTTAATCAGGAAATACCATTTTGAAATTTATCTATACCGCACGATATTCATTGAAAAGACCGATTGTTGAAAACAAATGTTTTGAATCTGATGCTATTATTATGAAAATTGTTCATTTTATAATATAAACTATTTTATTACTCACGCTGCATATAAAATGCAGATAGCAGGATTTATTATATAATTAGTATAACAAATAACAACTTTGCTCATAACAATCGGTAATAATAAACCTAAAAGTATGTAATGTTTTATAAAGGAAATACTCAGCTCTTTGAAGAATTTGTTGGCTAACTTTCTAATTCAATAGAACAAAGTCATGGTCAAGTAAAAATATAGTGATGATATTTTACGATCTTATCATTTACTTAATAATAATGTGTTTATTTTATTTACAGTTAATCAAAACATAATTAAGAGAACTATATTTATGACAACCATTGGTTGTCCATCTGACACACAAGTAAGGCAAAAAAACCAGAATACCTGTTTATATAAATACAAAAACATGAAATCATTTCGTGACAACCTTCTTGCATTCATTTATCCATTCCCAAACTTGATTAATGATATCTTCTGCTTGATATAATTCATTTTCTAGCCATCCGAGGCTTAATTTCTTGTGTTTTTGGGAGTTCTCGGTTATGGATAATGATTTTAATGCAAGCTCAACTTTCTCGTAATATTTGTACCTAAAATCACAAATTCCAATGAACGAAGTAAAAAATTCGTTAAAAAAAAATTCTATATATATATATATATATATAATTAAATGTTACAAACCTTAACTCATCTTCTAGTTCTAAACAACGGTCAACCTTGTTTGTATCCGAAGAATGACTATTGATTGTTTTTTTCAATCGATTCTTGGTCTCTCCCATACTACCTTGCAGCTTAATCAACTTCACAATCACAACTACTGTCCAACCTCTCAAGAGAATAATATACTTATTCACCGCTTTTTTCCCTTTCTCTTTCATGATGGCCTGGCAGAAAATCATCATATCATTATAAATTTCATTTAGGGTTGTGTCATTATCAGTACGAGATTTTGCTCGTTTGTAAACCTGGCGAATCCAGACTTGGATTTTTATGGCAGCGTCTTTCGCCTCAGGAGAATCATGAATCTTACGAAACCAGGCTTGAATTTCTGTTTCCGGCTCTTTAGCCTCTTCAGAAATTGCGTGCTGATCAAGCTGATCAAAAGTGTCTTGCATTAGGCTAGTATTCTGATCATTACCTCCGCTTTTTTGTGATGAAAATTGATTTTCTGAGACTACATTTTCCACAATATTTACTGACGATTTGATCTGCTGAAGAGCATAGCGAAATCCCCCGATAGAGTTGTACGCAAGCTTTTTAATACCATGTTTCTCCCAGTTAGAAAATCTTGACGGTATACTTTCTAATTGGTAATAAACAATGACCAAGGAATCACAATCTGTTTCTTTAAGATCGTTATGCAGAACATTAACAAGTAGTCCCATAGATTTCTGTTCTAAGTATTTTTTTATCTTATTAGAAGAAATTTTGTTGTCCAGATATTTGAAAAGATTAAAGATACTAGGCACAAAAGTGGATTCATTCAGACCAATAAGAACTAATAGCCGTATTAATCGAAGGGTAATCGTAAAGTAAGTATATTCCTTGTAAGTAAGCAGATAATTAAGAAGCTGTTTAATTTGCTCAAAGAAAATCGCAATTGCAGCCAGATAGCTATCTCTGTTGTAAGCATGTCGAAGATTCGGAATGAGCGGTGTTACAGCGTATATATCAAAATAATTAACTAGATAAGCTCGAGGAAGGAAAAAATCACAACATCTAGGACTGATTGCAAAAATCAAAGATGTTACAAATTCTATAAGGGATACAAGATCACCAAATGCATCAGATGTAACCAAATTTACCCTTTCCGTATGGCTTATAGCATATTGAATAAATATTTTTATTTGAGAAATTGCTTCGATCACATTGTTAGATCTAAGATAAAAGAAAAATGATGAAAGTCGTTTTCCAACCGGAATTGCTCGGTGATATCCATTATAACAATCGTAGTACTCAAGACCAACGGGTAAATTGTAAGGATATAAAAGAATCGTTGGCTTTGACATTTCCCAACAGAACGTATTAATACCCCATTCGTCTCTCAGCTGCTGAAGAACAAGCATGCATTTTAGCATGGCTTCAAAGTTACTGGCATTATTAAACTCATACAGCCATCTCTTATGAGCAAGTTCGATAAACCCATTACGTGTGTGATAAGGTAATTTAGCAAGCACCATGTGAGTGATCTCCGGACAACTTGTCCTTGAAGAATGATAGCGTATATGATTTCGAATCAAGTTTTCAGCCCACCATCTTTGTAAACCGAGAACTTCTTTGCTTTGTTCTTCTTTAAGTAGTCGAAGATGGTATAATACAATCAATTTTAGCATCACGGTGTATTGAAGGCATGAAAGTTCCAGGCGTTTGTACAGAATTGATGGCGTTGTAATTACGTGATGATTTTTGCAATTTTGTCTTGAACAATATTGATAAGATATAAAATTGTAGCAGATTTGAGAGCTTACGTCTGGAATATTTCTACCCTTCTGATTATCATCCCGGATGAGCTCAAAGATATACGAAGCGAGGAATTTTGAAATTGTCCGATATACAGTATATACGTTATAAACATATCGATTATCCGTGGTTTCTGTTACTTCTTTTTTCGAGTTGTTGCCGTACATTTCATTTATGAGACGAACTAGTGGGTTATCAAAAAAAATTTGACGTTTTTGTGGACAGTTCTCCACTTTGCTTACAAAAAAAATATTCTCAATAATTTTATTGTCATTGTATCGTGAAGCTTTTATAAGAGGAAAGACTAGATCACATAGCCTTAATATATGTTGTAACCTCTTTTTCCAATACTCTTCCTCAATATCAGGTTGTGGAATCTGCAACCATAAGATTATTGCACGAAATTCATGAGTAATCTCTCCCTGATTCTTAAAAAGTTGTATATACTTGTTAACTCTATTAAGACCCTTATTTAAATAAGCTGAGTATAATTGAAATTCTTCTTCCATTATTTTTTCCCACTTTTTGGACTTTTTAAACGATGGGTTGATTTTTGTAATAATATCATTCGCCTTGGAATGGAGACTCATCAACCCAGAATTATTCAAATTTTTGATCATCGACTTTAATATATTTACTCTGCATAGATGTAAGTAACACTGTAATGCCTCAATCTTATCCTCATCATTGTTTGAGCAGTTAAACTTATCAGCTGCCTTTTCAAATTCACCGTGTGAACGCAGATCTTCAGCTACGGCACGAAATTGACCAGTCTTCTCACAGACTTCTAAAAATTCTTCTGGTGCATGATCTCTCAGAAGTTTAATTTGTTCCTCCTGGGGGAGGATAGAAAGAGCTATCGTACTCATTTCTTTATTATTTGTACGACGATAATGGATGTTGACAAGACGGGTAATACGGTGAAATATTTTATCATCAATTTTTTGTCGATATCTTATTAAAAAGATTAGGTTACATTACGGTTAATTGTATAGAATTTGTCAAATTAGTTATGCTACATCAATAGACTTACTTTCGCATTAGCTCGATTACTTTTTCATAACGGTTATCATTTTTATATGCTACAACAGCATCAGTATAGTTCTTTGCCTTTTCAAAATACTTACCTGCCTCGTACCACATACTAGCTTTATTATAACAACGCGCGGCAGGATCAAACATATTCCATTTGACATATACATCACCAGCTTCTTTATACATGCTAATATCCTAAAAGTGTATAAATCAATTTAAAGCAGTGAATATCGATCGAGTAAAGGAAATCAAAATCTTACCTGGTAACATGAAGCCGCCTGATTGGGTCGGGAGCACTTTACGAAAGCCTCAGCAGCACAAATGAAATTGGACTTTATAGTATCATCATCAGAATCATTTGTAGAATCCTTAGCAATCTGCTGAAGATAATATGCATTGGCTAGTTCTCTGCTCTTTTTATTTCCACTTTTTTCAAAGCAGAAAATAGCCTAAAAAGTAATTTATTTAGATATAATACAGCTAATTACATAACATTAATATTTCAAAAATGGTATTACTTGCTCATACTGCCGTTGTTCAAAGAAATTTTTTCCCTGTTGATCCCACTCATCTGAATTGCTCTTTTTAGCCAAAGTGGAAATAATTTCGTCTACACTTTGAGTTACTTTAATTAGCCCAAGACGTTCCCAGTACATTTTGAGTGGAATGCTATATTCGGGATTTTCATCGCATATCCATATATGTTGCCGAGCCCTAGTTACTGCAACGTAAAGATGTTTGAGTTCTGAGGAAAGGATGTAATGTCTCTCGTGGGAGAAAGTTTGAACACCTTCAGAATTTTCTCTTGGAATAGAATCAATTACTCGCCACTAAAAGATAAATAATAAGTGAACTATCTATAAGAGATTTGAGACCAATAATATATTATCATACCTTTCGACATGCAGGTGAATCGTTAAAGAAATTATACAAAAGCACATCATTAAACTCCATGCCTTTAGCTTCAAATATAGTCATTACCAATCCAGCTTTATTAATTAGTTTCTTCAACTCATCTTTAGCATTATCGTCACGTACAATAATGACTTGATCAGCACCAAATTCAATGAATGGATTTTCGTCACCATTAACAAGCTTTTGCCCATTAGAGGTACAAACATCATCAAGCTCACTTTCTCTGCTATTTGACGAGAAGATTTTAAAATGATCTTTTTGGAACCCTTCAAAGAAAGTAGGTTGAGGTCCACCGACCCTACCATGTTCACGTGATAGCCGGTCGATAGAATTAGGAAAAAAGTGCCAAATAAGATCAATTACTGAAGTGGCGAGTTGAAGGATCCCATTATGGGATCGGTAATTAATATCTAGCTCAAACTGTTTTGGATTTATAATGCTACTATGATTGGTTTTGGCTCGTGTACGTTCCCAATTATACATTAAGGCATGTAAATCTATATTAAATTATCAAAAAAATTGTTTAATAAAGAATAGAAGAATAATATTGGCAAAAAAATATCGCGCATACCCTGGAATCGAAAAGAAGACCCTCTGGCAATACATTGTGCTATATCTCCAGCTAAAAAAACGCTATTGGCACGGTCAAAAACCTTCAAGATAAGTGCCAAATCCACAATTTGATTATCCTGACATTCATCAATATATACTTCATGAATATGTGGACCACCGAGTGCTTTTTTTTTGGCAAGACGTAAGATTGCCAACGTTCTACAAAGATTCCAAATAAAATTAAGCAATTAATAATATGCCCGAAAAATAAAAGAATCACATATTATCTGGACTTACCGATCTATCGAATCGTAATCACCATTTCGTAACTTCATTGTTTCATATTTTTGAAATAAATCATAAATCTGATCCCGGTTATATGAAAATACCGGATACTTTTTGGTACTGATGTTTTTGTAATCTTCTCTTGATAAAAAATCTACTTCGGGATTTGAACCCTAGGTAAAATAAAGATTGAGATAAAATATATATATAAGTATTAAAGAAATTGAAAGAAAACAAGTGACAAATAATTACAGATTACATGCCTTAATAATAGAAAATTCAGCATAAACCAATTCACAATCAAAATCGCAACTAAGACGACGCCAATATCTTTTCTGAAAGACCTTATAATCAACAAAATTCGTCGTTTTAACGAAAGATGATTTTTGGTAAAATCTTCCTTCTTTATCATATGAATCAATATTATCTGCACCTAACTTTCGTTGTTTGATTAGGTTCTTAATGGCATACGTTTCTTGAAGCATTTTAGAAAACTTATCGTAGGTCATGAACAAAGGGAAATGGTGATCTTCTAGCTCATGGAATGAGTTTGGAATATCATCATCATCATCTCCCTCTTCGAGCATTGTATCAGTGCCATCTGCTTCTGCTTCTTCTTTCTTTCTTCTATATTCATAAAACTGCGCCATAGAAATTTTTTTCCCGGCGAGCATGGCAGACTCTCGCAACTTATTAAAATATTCCTTTACCCGGTCACGAAGATTGGGGCTCACTGTAATAAATATTTGTCTTTTGATAAAAACCCTGTCATTGGATGACGTTTTACAGAGTTGTCTATTTAAGTATGAAGCAATCTGCCTAAAAATAATACATGTAGTCTTTCCAGTCCCTAGATATTAGAAATATATAGAAACAAATGGCATTAAACTTATTTCCAGTTGCAATGATTGAATCAGATTGATCACTAACCTGATCGACCAATAACAACCGCCGATGCAGGACAGTTAATGATTTCATATTCTTTCTTGGACACTTGAAAAGTAAAATTAAAACCACCCAAGGCAAGTGATTTGTACAAGTTCTGCATTAAAAAATAATGCATTAATATATAATAAATCCGAATTTCATAATTTAATATTATTAACTTCATAATTTACCTTTGATAAGGGAACAAACTTATTTGTAACAAGCATCCTATGAACCTCTAGCAATTTCTCATCATCCGTCAGTGAGGTATGCAATCCGTTTTCAGGAGATTTTATTTCTTCTTCGTTTCCAAAGGTCATTGGTAAAATTACGCTATCTTTACCTGATTGTTCCACCATACACAAATGCTTGGGAGTATAAATCTGATGAACTATTGAGAGATTTTCTAATATTTTGTGGATTTGTTCCTTGTTTGCTGTGACAGCCCAAATTTTAACAAGCTGTGTGAGCGAATCACTACGAATAGAGAATCCATAATCAACTTGCCAGAGAATTTTTAGACCATCATTATCTGGAATTTCTATCTCATAAACAGGAATGGCATGAGTTTGAACCTTACGCCGTAATTCATGTTTGTCCCATTTTCCTAATGATATCTGCCCAAGTTTCTGTATGACTGTCCTAAATTTATCAGGTGATGATTCCAATTGACGCAAGTCTTTGATTGTGTCCTCGCTAAGCATGATGTCCCATGGACCAAGCTTATCATCCTCATTAAATTCAAATGGAAGACGGTAAAGGCAATCTGATGATGACTCCTCTTCCAAAAAGTATTTGTCAGGAGAGAAATAAGCAAGAGCTTGTTTGTGACAACTTGTACATGGTAAGAATTCCATCAAAATCTAATTGAGGATGGATAGGTTTATCAAGTTCCCTATCATTAGTTATTTTTGAATAAAACAAAAATATTTACCCGGAATGAATCTATTTTCCGTAGTTCGAGAGCACGCAAAGTGTGAGGCAAATCTGATGGCCTTTGAGGTTTCGGCATATTTAATAATGCGAGATTTTGTTCATCTTCAATGGATAAGAGTGTAAAGTTGTTATTGATGTTACTGGCGGCTCTCTTCCTGTTCGAATGTTGCGTTCTGGATTCCTTATCCTCAAGCCTAACCATATCATCCAATGTAGGTGGCAAAGAATTTTTTCTGTTAACAAGCAGGATTTGTTTTAAACTTTGATGGCTTCTTAGAGTTTCCAACAATGCCGTGCAGGCCTTGTATATTGAAAAACCCTCTGATAACCGAGATGGGACATCCTCGTGCTCAGAACATTTCTCTACGAGAGTCGCAATCACGTCCGCCGCTTTGAGTATCTCTTCTTGCTCGATACGAATTAACATGTTGAAGTCAAATAATATGCGCTTGATACAATGATGACCATAAGTTTCCGTTATCAAAACTCCAAAGACTTCATTTGCATCCAGGATTGCGCTGAAGACATGTTTGGTTGTCAACCTATTATCTTTATTATCAGTACGCCAAAGGAGTTCAATACAATTGTGAAGGAGCTCTCTAAAGCCAGGAACGTCAGAATTTTGTAGGTTTTTCATAACAACATCGTTTATTAACATTGAGGAAAATTTATTGAGCGAATTATTCCATCTATTCAAACTGAAGTTTGGAGTAGCCCGTAAATTTTTATTGCAAAGGTTAAAAATAAAAGTTTGTAGGGTTGATAGATAAGTATCAAAAGAACGCGATAATTCGTCAAGAAACTCATCCATGTCCGATTCTGATGCATTGAGACATCGTTCCAGCAGTATATCTCGTTTCTGACCGTCATCATTCTGAGAACTTGCAAGGTCTTCCAGTAGTTCAATTAGAAATCTTTCATCCATTATGATCAATTTTCGTTTTTTTTTAAAAAAAAGAAAAGAAAAAAAATAAAAATAAAAAATAAATAAATATATTTAACGCACTAATGAAATAATTATAAGTTTATCTCAAGGATATAAGGAATAATATTTTTGGAAAAGTCTGCTGATTTTTTACCAACATCACACTATATTCCTTAAAAAAGAAATTTATTAAAAGTATTAAGAGCAATAAATGATTTTAACGAAAAATTTTGATTTCAAGAACAACAGAATAAAAATTTTGTTTCTGTGGGAAAAAAACCAAAGTATTGATGGTTGATATAATGTCTCCCGCATAACTCGGGTAACAGTGAACCAAAACAACACAGTGCATGCAATGCAGATCGTGCTTAAACCTAACTTGTGACGATCAGTAGTAAATCATGCACGATGTTGTGACAATTAATTGTTAAATATTCCTATTTGAAATACTTCACTTAAACCATTGTTGAAAAAAAAAAAAAAATCACTAATATTGTTAGAAATTAAATTTTGATTAAGTTGCGTACAAATGGAACTATACCCTAAATCCTCATTTCAGGGAATCTTTTATAGGGATTATAGGAATGTAGATAGTTTGAAATTTGAATCCTCATATTTCTGCGCCACTTATTCCAAGTCACGCCAAATTTCGGTAACGTGACTTGACGAATTTTATTGGTCAGGTGAGCATTTATCTTAAAAATACTTTTACAAAAAAAAAAAATACAAAGAAACGTTTAAAATATTTCTTATGTTCCTTTTCATTTTATTAAATTTATTGCTGGTTTTTTTTATTAAAATGAACTGAATAAATTATTTGTTATTTTATAGAATTTGAATTTTACGATAAATCTTTATCTGTTATATTACTTATATAATTTTAATAATCGTAATAAAAAGATAATTTTTTAATGTATTAAATAGAAAAGTCTTCTTCTTTATACTCCCAAGGCTGCAAAAAAATTTTCAATATATTTTATAAAAGATCGCGTTTTTATTTTCACCACAAAATAAAATACAATAAAAATAAGAAATATAATAGAATAAAACTATAATAAGAAGAATAATATACATTCAAGGCGAAATTACAGGTACTAAGATGAGAACTGATATATGTACAAAGTTACGATTACCGAAAATAAATTGGTGGTGTTTTTTAGGTGAATGTATACAATGCACAAGTTATTTTGCATGAAAATGTTCGACTTTACACTTCGAAATTTGCAAAATATTAAAATATTCGAATATTTATACTAGAACCAAGAGGCCCTGGTATATAAGCTGACCCATGAAAACTAATATTTGTTTTTTAAAGGTCTAAATGATCGTTTCTAGTCGGTTTTATCATATAAACTGGTAAGATAGGTGAAACCGGTTAAACTGTTGGCATCGCTAATAGCCTATTACAGGATAGATTTCAGGGTTGGTTAGAAGAATAGCCTATATCTTTCAAAGAAATCTGTTATAACAAGGAAGGAAAGTTGGATTTCAGGTTTCGTAGAGAGCATGTTGCAAAGGTTCAAGGCTTCAAGCTGAGAAGAAATTTTGTGTTGGTATCAATTTGTAAAATGCTTCAAAAAGGAGGAATTGCACGATCTTCCTGGAAAAAAAAAATGTTTATTGGATGAAAGATTTGTTGTAACCTTATAACAATAGGAATAGTACGCGCATACGGATCATTACTTAATTTATCGTTTCATTCAGTTACAAAACAATATAACATCATTTTAAAAAATCTTTTAATTTTCAGTCTAGTCAGTCTAGTCACAAAAATTCACGAGAATCTCAATTTCCTCACATGATCTAATTTAAATCACTTATCTTTAAGTCTTCGAGAGGATCACTAAGGATCTAAGCATTTGGTGAAGATATGTGATTATTGAATATTGTATCGTCATACGAGATTCATTGGAACGTTTCGAGACTGGAGTTATAGAAACAATTGATTTTGAATCTAATGAAAGTATTTGAAAAATTGTAGACCTGGGCCGCTGGGCGTCTGGTTATGAAGACGAAGGAAACAAATTAATTTGTGAGCGTATTCAGTGAACAATAACTGTTTTGGGGATGATATTATAGAACTATATAATATTTTTCTCAATAAAAATTATAATTTTATTTTTTGTTTGTATTACACACAAGCTGCAACTTTGATTCGAGTATATCTATTTGTATTTGGACGCTTGGACTTCATATCCCACTAATTATAGACCTAATATTTCTTTTTATCATACTAAGAGTCTTGTACATATTACAAAAATAAAAATAAGAAGTAAAATGTGTTTCAGCATTCTATATATATATATATATCTAAGGATTAAAGCAGTCTTATTCTTGTTAATTTTAAAAGAATAAATTAATGAAACTATTCTAATTGAAGTATAATGAATATTGGTACAAACCTATCGACTTAAGACTGTAGGGATGAAAAATGCAAGCTGGATATAAAATGGGTTAGCCTATATTTACGCCACTAAAAGATTACTGTTGTTTAAAAGTGGAAAGGTTTAGAAGGTTAAAATTTAGATCGGTAAATCGATGCCAAATTAGGGTAGGGTATTCCGGCGTTTTACGTTAATGCTATTAACATTAACGTTAACGTTTGAAAAACCGATCCAAAGTTTAAAAAAAACGTGAACATTAACGTTAGCATTTTGTATCAAAACGAAACGAATCTTAACGTAAACCCATGTCCATACCACCCATCTGAGCAAGGGGCGCTTATGTAATTATTTTTTTTTGCCGACAAATGGGGAAATGTGGAATGTGGAATAGGGTTAAAATAGTACTATACTGCTATTCTTACTATTTTTGGAGCATGAATTGAATGATTTTCTCCGATCTTTTCTTTATCGATTACAAATTCTTTTTGTCCTTTAGGTGTAGTTGGGATCTGCGGATGATACCGAAGCAACTTAGTTGGCGTACCACGGTGAAATCGACGGGTACTCCTTTTTTTTCATTTTTCCTTGGCGTTAATTAATCACTAATCAAATTTTTTAAAAAATTTTTGATTTCTAAGTTCGGTCAAGGACCAGCAGTTGATGCCAAAGTCCTGGGTGGGAGTAATGTGGTGAGTGAATCAGCAGGTACGAGGTTTTTTTTCGTTTTATAATTGATTACTAATCAATTTTTTTTTCAGTTTTTCTTTTGTCATATTTGAGTTCAGTCAATGTAAAAAAATTTCTAGCTTTTTTTGCTAAAATAATAAATAAAAAATCTTCCTTTTCTTTAAATACTAAAAAGAAGCCACTTTTTCTCAAAAAAAGAAATAAATATTTATTCATAATAAATTTATATTGTTTAATAATTTCTCTTACCACATGACATATTAAATGGTTATACAAAGTGTATTATTAATTGCCTTATTTGACTAAGTATGGGAAAATCAAATTTGCCTACAGATTGTGGTATTGTTTTTGAATCCAAAGCCAACAGCCCAACACAATACTAGTTATTGTTTGCTTAAAAAGAATTCGATGATCTGATCAGGTACTACATAAAATTGTGCGACTGAATCTCGTATAAATTCGCTTAACGAAGAAATGTATCGATTGGTCTTTGCAGTCTTCTCAAATAAGTCAATGAAATGGAAGTGCAATTTATCAGATATCTTCAAAAAAACAAGACATTCCATCTTTTAAGTCTGCTTTTATTAATACTTATTATTTACTATGATAAAAACCATGCTCTTAATTACATTTTCGTATCTGTCGAAGCATATTTATATATTTTTACATACGACATGGTAATCTCACGTAGTGTTACCAATTATGATTCTTCTAGTGATCACGTTTACACTAATGCCATCCGAAAGCGAAATTATGAATTTATTGGTGTCAGATTATTCATCGCTTTTATTTTTATAATGTACATTCTGGCTGACATTCTTCCAAATGTTTCATCATTATTTGTATGGCTTTTTATTTTAGTACCTATGGTATATTTTCACCAATTCTACCAATTCAAGGTCTTATTCGATTTTTCTTACTTCTGCCCCCCTCTAGAAGGTTGCTTTAGGATTCTTACAATTGCATTTCCTTGCATCTTTTGTGGAAGTAAGGATAGCAGAATATTAGTTAGTATAATCCTTTTCTTTTTACTTGTGTCTATGCACAAAATTAGAAGATTGGTGAGAACAAGCTATTCTCGTGCAACACATAACATTAAAGATATTGAAGAAAATCAATATGACAAAATTGTATTATACCTTATTTTCTTTCTTTCGTTATACAATAGTATTCCTATGTTTTTATATTTTATAATAGCAAACTTTTTGACTAGAAAAGTTTTTTTTAGAGTTAATTTCGGTGGAGAAGGAGAGGAAAGGATTACGATGTGGGGATTATCTTGGCCTTGTGATGCGCTTGTTTCTCCTATGGATTTTGGTGTAATCTACATAAGCTTTGCCTTGTCTGTAATTTCAATTGTGTTTTACAATTAAATTAGTTTCCTTGTCATATTTCATATTTTCATCTGATTGATTTTCTCATAATTTTTATTACGTTTAGCTTTTCTAAACAATGTTATAAAATTTAATAAATGTGGTATAAATTATTTTATCTACACAATTTTTTAATGCCATTTAATATTGTAATATATGTGTTATTAACAAGAACATTATGAACATTATGATATGATCAAGAGATATTTTATTGTAAATATATATAAAATTCGAAAAATAAGACTAGATATGAGGACCGGTCTAGCAAAAGCCGGGATTTGTCCGATAACGTATTTTCGAGGTTGAAATTACGTAATCAATTTGATGATCATTACGACAAGAATTGGATTTTTTTCGAAACGGTCTTAAGAAAATTAATTGAAGCCTTAGGTTTCAATAAATTATATCAATTTAATTTATATCATAAAATTTGTATAATACATATTTTTAATAAATTTAATGCAATATTTTTTAATAAATTAGTTCACCAAAATAAAGTATATTATGAATGGAAAAACTTTTTTCCAAATGGTTAGACTCATAAGCTTATTAAAAATCGTGAAATCACGTGACCGGACCCAACCCCGGCATCTTCCCCAGCGTCGCCCCAAGATTTTTCACCCACGTGACCTGCATAAAATGTCACCCCGTGTCACACCCAACCTTTTTTATTTTTTCATAAGTATTCTGGGGACTTGAAAATTTTTAGTGGTGAAAAAAATATTTTTCACGCCCCTTAAACATCACCGGTCACGTGGGGTGGAATTTTACTAGAAATCTTGGGGCGATGCTGTGGTAAATCAACCCCGACCAGGCCCCATATACCTGAGACGCAAGTTCCGAGTTACAAAATCTGATTGATTAATTTTATACTGATATGTATTTTCAATAAAGGCTCTAACATATTTTTTTAAAAAATAAAATTTTTAATAATTATTTCTCTACGAAAGTAAAGTACATGTATATAATTCATATTTTTTACCAGGTTCCCGTCGAATAGATTTAGTTATTTCACTTTAAAATGATTGATTTGATTTTACGTTCTATACGCGTTTCTAAAAGTGATTATCCTGCAAAGTTTTAATAAAGCATCGTTAATAACAACTTGTTGATGTAATAGACTATTATTATCATTATTTTAAATAATAATTTTTGTGAAATACCACGAACATTATTTTTGATCTCTTTTTAATAAGCCAGAATTAATGAAATCACGCGCAGCAAGTTTGATCCAACAGTCTAGTATGACACCACTTATGGTCTCGGGGACGGGGAGGTAAGTTTTGATATGAAGCAAATCGACAAATCAAAGATTAAGAACTTCATTAGTTGTAATAAATGGTCTGATACACTCAAAAGATCTTAAAATTCAATAATGAAATTATGAACATAATAATTAAACTTACTTCTAATATCTTGACTGATTTTATCTATGCATGTCAATGTATCATTGACCTTTTAAGATTTATGTCCATAATTAATGTTTAATTCTAAAATTCCATCATCTTACCCATATTGTTGTGAAAATTGTGATTTTGGTAGCATGTAACAATCAATCCAATCTGTTACAATACATAAAGTAAAGCAATCTCTTATTCTCTTTACACCTGTATAAATAACCGATTAGAATTCGCAAAATTTTAATAATAAAAATAAATTACTACAGTAATTAGGTTATTGACTTCCAAAATAATTTTATTATATCAAACTTATAAAAATAAAAGAGATAAAAGATTCGTCAAAAATTTTTTTTAAAAAAAAAAAAATGGAAAGGGAATATGCATATTCTGTATACGTACACCGGAAGCTTATAAGCTATCTTAATTATAAAAATATAGGGAAAAAAGTAAAAACGAATTTAAAAATTGATTTAAAATTCAAAATCATATTTAAAAAAAATCATCGTTTTTGTACGAAAAAAAAAAGAAAAAAAAAATTTAAACCGATAAAAAAATTAGATACCCGAACACATTGGAGGTAAAGTAAAAAAAAAAAATTTGTGATTTCATGAAATAAATTATTCGAATTTTTAATACGGCGGATTCGGCGGATATTGAATATATTTTTCGAATAACTCTAATAACTCTTCTTCAGAAGATCGATCGAAGTTCATAATGTTGGTCGAACTAGGTGGTACGACCGTGGAGTAAAAATTTCGAATTTTATATTCATCTTTCGCATACTTTATAAATTCGTTTTTTAGATAACACGAAAGATTTTCTCGCCACATTTGTCCGGTAAGTCGGCCGATTTGCCAAGATAACAACTGAGGATTGTCGTTTTTTAATATTTTGGAATAAATTTTATAAAAATAGATATAACCGTTGGGCGTACGAGCCCTAACGGTTCGTGTTTTCGAACGCGTACGTTTCGGACGAGGAGGTTTTTTGGTCATAACAAATAAAATAATTAATTCTCGCCGAAAAAAAGATGAGCTAAATTTCTGTCATTTTTATACTTTATTTTTTCGTAATTAATTTTTTATTGAAGGAAAAAACAGATTTTTCTCCGATTTAAACGTAATTGTAAATCTATTCTTCAAAGTTCGGAAATAAATGAAAGTCAACTCCGTCCATAAAAAGGAGTAAAGGATAAATTTGTTTAGAGTATTGTGTCAGAAGGTATAAAGAATTACGTGCGTTCATTCTTTCAATACACCAAATCGAAATGATGATTGATGACAAAAGGAAATAGATTAATGAGTTCAAATTTAGTAAATGTTAAAAAGATCTATCGCCAAATTATTAATGGTGTATCAAACAAAATTAAATGTAATGAAATGAAAATAAAAAATTTTAAGAGAGATAAAATGAAGATTATTGATAAAATTGGATGCTTTTATAGTCTAATTTTAGAAATATGAACCACCATATTTATCAAAAATAATAATCATTGAAAAAAAAAAAAATTAATAATCAAAATGTATGATGCATTTTTTTTTTTTTTTTTGGTAAAACATTATAAACCGATTTTTTTTTTTTCAAGGACCCTAAAAGACATAAAGATCGGCATTATCAGAGATCTTTAAATTTTGATTGGCTCCTTTATTTAGTAATAGGAACGCGAGATCTACCAATCGTTGATTTTAATCGAAACTTTAAGTATTTATAATTATAATTTATTAATTAATATAACATGAAAAAGATTTCACTCGAAAATTATAATTTTATTAGCCGTATGTAATGAAATGAAAAAAAATTAAAAATATTTCTCTTTCAAACGCTGCACGCATTCTTTTTTTTCTCCCTATTTCTTCCAAATATTTCCAAAATTTTTCTTTCATTTTACTATTGTCGAAATATTTTGTTATAAGTTGGCGCTGTTGTATCAGTATGCACTGCAGTATGCAATTATAATATATTGTTTCTCATTATGTGATTGTGTGTAATCTTTTCTTTCGCTTATGACAATATGTTGCATTAAATCAATGCAAAATTGGTAACTTTCTCAAAGTTTTTGTGTAATGATTATTGACTCACAATTAAAAATAGAGATAATAATAAAGATGGTAAATTTAAGTGGATATTTACCCGTTTTAGTAGTGGCACGGCAAGGACCATCAGGTTATTAAACCATATTTGTAGATGATAAATTTTGGTTAAGCTTAATAAATTTTTATTAATGATATCAAAATATTGGACCCTAAATTTATTATTAAAATTGTTATTATTTACGAAAATAGAAAAATATTAGGGTGCTAGAAAAAAGGGGCAATTGGTTTGAATATTAAATATTGTTCTATAGTAAAATTTTCAAATTGTTATGTGTTTGATCACCATGCTTAAACTTGTTTATTCAATCAATTTGGTAGTACCCACCCCATATTGGCGCTGGTAATCTCTATTAGAAGTTTTTCCGGTTCTGCACCACCTAGGTTTTAAAAAAAATTATTTCTGATTTAATTCTTTCAAATACGATATTCTAATAAGCGTTTTCATTGCAATATGAAGCTTGGAATATGCAAAATATAGAAGTGAGAGCATCAAAAGCTTTGTATCTTTTGTATCTAGAAAACCAGTACCAATGTATTTCATGGTTTCCTAGAGTAAGCTTGTATTCGAGTTACCTCGGTTATTCCAAGTACTTTTTCTACAAATCAGAGTTTTTTTTTTGAAATTAGGAAGAAATAAAACACAGCAGATGTGTTTATACCTGTAACAATATAGTACTTTCACAACAGCAAATACCATTGTCACGAATTAAATATGGTTTAGATATATATAATTGCCAAATCTTATAGTAATTTAAATTTTGTGCGAAGTTTTATTCCTTAACATTTGTCAAATTCATGAGCAAATTTCTCCATGGAAGTAGAGGAAACCAGATAATAGGGAATTAAAATAGGTATTAAAGGTAAGTTTTTTGTGTTGACTAATTACAACTTACCGTCGGTAGCAGATGGTTTAACTAACATGAATGTATTTTTTTTGAACGGAACTTTAGGTCATAATGTGGTCGCTGGGAGCAGGATCTTAGAATTTCCTGACGTTAGTTTTCGTGTGTCGTCGCGTATTTCTATACTAGCAAGATCAATTTTTCCTTCTTGATACCAAAATCCTTGTCTAGCGGGTTTACTTGGATTAACGTCGACCAAAATTTATATTTCGCAAACGAGACACAAAAATGTATTATGTTTTATAACGTGTTATATTATTATTGATAACTTAAATAAAGAAAATTTCATTTTACTTAATAGAAACTGGCGGATAATCAGTCAGACGGGCATTATTTATTGAAAAGAGATTTCTCAAAAACACGTACATCTTTACTTCTTATTTAAGGTAAGACCGATCAATTAATAATAATTTAATTTATAAAATAATAAATAATGCTATCATATTTTTATTATAGGATGACATTTACATATAATGAATGAAATACATGGAAAAATATTGTATATCAATTAAATAAATTACATGTGATTAAATAATATAATTAATAAAATTATTACATATATATATAATTTTTATATCATAATTTTTTCTTTTTTTTCTTTTTTTTTTTTTAGTGATGAAGTTTAAACCATATAATTCTTATTAATCCAAAAATTAATACGACGCCCCAACAAGCGATTAAAATCCAAAAAAGAGGGAGTTCGGATTTTAACCTATCTTCATAAGCATCAAATAATCTACCAATTTGTCCTCCCGTACCTTCTTCATCGGGTTCACCTGCAAATCTAATCGTAGCTTCACTTATGACTGAATTCATTTTATCAGGTTTTATCATTAATATATTTTCACTAACACGTGGCAAACCAAGGTGAGAATTATCTTTTATAAATGTTAACCCACTTTGAATTCCTTTAATTTTTACAAGAATTAAACAATTTAATAATTCATCAATTACATTTCTTATAAATGGAACTCCACCAAATGTTGTATTAACAAATCCAACAATTTCATCAACTGCTGTATTCAATGTATTATTAAGAGCTGTTGTGGTAATATTAACCCAACCAAATAAATTTTGATTTATATCATTCTCCAAATTTATTATAATATTGTTGCTTTGTGTAGAATATTGCTATAAAATAATAATAATAATAATAAACATTAATATTAATTTTTTTAAAAAGTAAACTTTTAATAATAATTAATACTCACTTTAGATGATTCTTGTAAATTTGAATTCATAAGTCCCATAACAGTATTTCCAAAATTAGCAATACTTTCACTAATTTCATCTTTATAAGTATGTCGAACACCATTTAATATTGCAATTTGAATAAATATAGATATAATTCCTGATAATCCAATAATAAAACATATAATCGCCGGTTTAAATAATATATAATCCCAAAACCATCGATAAATTTTTTGATTTTCTCGATTCTTAAAATAAGTTGAAGTTTTAACTATATAATTTTGTAAAAATGGATTTTCTGAAAATTTAATAATATCAATAATCGAATTTTTATTTATATTCGAATTTGTCCTTTTAAAATTATTTAAACTTTTATCAACTTTGTTCATAAATCTTTTATGAGAGATCCAAATATAAAATATATTTGCTAAAATTAATAATATAGAAAGTGCAAATAATATAGAAAGTCCAATCCATGCTGTTCTTTTCAAATCATTTTTAATATTATCAAGTACTTCAAGATTTAAATTATTTTCACAAAATTTTATGTTATTACCCATTGGAGGTACTGGAAGGATTGACGAATTAAATTTTATATCTGACATAGAATTATTAATAATAACTCGTAATTCATTAAATGGAATTGAAATTAAATTTGTTAATCTATTTTCAATTTCATCCATAGAGGGAATACTTGCATTAAGAGTATCTAAACCATTAACGATACCGGTCGTTGGAAATGTGACCTTATTTAAATCTTCTGCTGCCGGAATAGATACTGTAGGAATTTCGGGTAAATTTAATAATCCACCAACATTTGATAATGCATTTCTAACACCTTCTAAAGATGAATTAATTCCAGCAATTGAATTGTCTATTGCAGTCTTAATTCCAGCTAATGCATTATTTGAGAAACCTTGTAAAAATATAACAGCTTCTGATACGGCACTTATTGATCCTCGTACGGCCAGTTCTAAAAGACATCGAAATGTACTTTTATACAAATTAATGAAAAATACTATTATACCGTTCAATGCTTGAATACCCAAGTCCAAGGTTCTTACAAATCCTCGAATTGTCGAATTTATTGTATCAGTTATTGAGTCATTAAAAGGTCCAGCCATAAAATGTGGTAAAGATATTAAAGATGACGTAGCTAATTCGAGTGCATCACATGACTTATTGACTCGTTGTCTTATATCTTCTATAATTGGATCAATCGAATTCATTGCGATGAATAATCTGCCGATTACAAATATAAATGAAATAATCGGGTAAGTGATCCATGCTAATGATAACTTTCCACGTAATCCAATATATGGATGAATATTAGAATAGGAATCTACAGTATTTAAAAAGTTAGTAATTTATTTACTGGTTAAATTTAATTTATCAGAAAAATGTAAAAAATTTTTTAATTTAAAAAGAATCATATTTTTCAACAAACCATCATTAATAAATTTCTCAGAATTTATAGAAGCATTTGATATATTTTTATGTTCTGAATATATACTAGAAGATGTATGTTCTGATGATGCAACACCCGCTGACCAAGAAGCTGAATGGCTTAGAGGTGGCTTGTTTATATTTTTTTGAGACATTTTCTCGTTTTTTTTTTTTTATCCCCTCAATCGTTTTAGTGCAAATTATATAATTTTACGAAAAAAAAAAATTGAGGGGATAATTTGGGCTAAATCAAAAAAAAAGTTTTTTTTTAAAGAAATTTCTAATTTATCATGTGATAACTATTATTACACGAATTTGTATTAGTAAATTTATGACGACAAAACGATAAAATTATGATGAAATGAATTTAAACGATATGCGGGTTAGTAAGAATACAATCGACAGTGTGTATTACCATTAAAAGAAATTGATAATCACGCCACTAGGTAAATGGCTAAATTTTACCAAGAAATTTACATTTCATGTCGTAACTCCAGGGTTTTCTGACGTTTTTAATTAAAATGACAACCTCAGATCATGAATTATTTTGGTTTAATGGGATGATAAAAAAAAAATAATCCTTTTTTGATCTATTATTTTATTATTTTATTAATGGGTTTTGTTTTTTATCGCACCCGTGAAATATCGCGCGAATCGTCAAAATCCCGAAATGTCCCGACACCCCCATAATACTGATTTTTCTTTCTTTTATTAATAAATTTTCAAGATTTTTCATTTCGGTATTTTGAATTCGGGATTATGAACTGTCGGGCTTATGAAATGTCGGGATTATGGCAATTCAGGATTTTGACGTTTCGGGATTTAGAGTGTCGGGATAATGTACCTTACCAAACCCATTCTAAACCCTTTTTGATATACTAAATAAAATTGTAAAGCAGGCAGGAATATTATATGATTTTTTAAAATCCTTTATTAATTATTAACTAAAATTAATTATTATAATCTATAATATATATTATTTTCTATTACTAATTTTTTTATCCTTTTACAGGAATACTTTGAGGAAATTTGAATAAATTATTAGGATCATATTTCGTTTTTATATCAACTAACTTATTAAAATTTTGACCATAATATCTCGTTTGCCAATCATCTAAATCTCTATCAATATAATTTTGATAACTAAAATAAGAAGTAAATTTTGATTGAAAATTCTTTCCGAAATCATTTAATTCTTTAACACATTTATCACCTTGCGCTTTATTTTTCCAATCTGAACCAACTAATTGTATACCATAAATTGAATCACGATGCATGAATGATGAAGTATCATCAACAATATTTGCAGTTCCACCAAGTAAATCGAATAAAGCATAAGTACTACAAGAAACAGTACTCAAAAAATTTGATAAAGTATCTATAGCTTCTGAGGTTAATCCTTTATTAACGAAAAAAGATTTTGCTTTAAAGAAATATGGATGATGTTTTGGTTTTACTACATCATTTGGAGGAACGTAAGAAAAAGTTACAACAGAATCAAAAAATGTTTCTTGTTTAAAATTTGATGATGTTGGTTTTGGTGCTCTTGATAAGAAAGGTTTCATTGCATCTTTTGCATTTTTGGCTGGACCTAAATATAATCCATCAATTGATAAACTATCTTTATCAAGAGACACTGAAAGAACAATATTATTATCAAGTGTTGGGCCAACTTCATTATAAGCAGTAAATAGTTGTTGTACTTGAGATCGTCTAAATTGAAATTGCATCGAAGTAACTTGTGGTGGTACTTCATGAAGCTTAAAGACAAATGATGTTACTATACCAAAACTTCCACCACCTGCTCCTCTTAAAGCAAAGAATAAGTCGGCATTTGTTTGTTTATCAACTTGTAAGAGTTTTCCATTAGCGTCAACCATTTCCATAGAAATGATATTATCAGCAGCAAAACCATATTTACGACCGGCAAACCCATAACCCTATTAAATAAATAAGAAATATATTAAAAATAAATTTAAATATTTGAAAAAGAATGATTTAATAATTTAATATTTACCCCTCCAAGAGCATGACCTCCAATTCCAACAGAAGGACAAGTTCCGGCCGGAATTAAGAAACCAGCTTGACTTAATTTATCATAAATGACGCCTAATCTATTTCCTGCACCAATTTTAGCAGTTTTCGCTTTTGAATCAATTGTGATTTCATTAATATTTGTTAAATCCACTACCATAACATTATTTCTACCACCTAATCCATATTTTTCATACGAATGACCTCCTGAACGTGCAGTAATATCCATTTTCAATTTAGTAGCGCAATTAATTGATGTTTGTACATCTTGATTATTAGCAGCGTAAATTAAAACTGATGGAGTATAATTCACATAAAGATTTTCATCAAGAATTAATGATGGAAAGGTTTTGTTGTTTGGATAAACGGTTTGACCTTTTATTGAAGAGAGACATGATGTTAAAGGGCTGGCATTTACTTTTACGAGATTAATTAATAAAATACACCATAAAAAAAATAAAATTATATTAAGTTTTTTCATTGATTTCATTTTTATCTTTTTTTTTTAGGGTAAAAAAAGTTTAATTATAGTGTATTGTAGTTTATTGCTGGGTTGACTAAAGGTGTATATATATGTGTTTTGCGTAAATCAAAAATTAATGATGTAGTCATTTACAAAATGGTTCTTTCTAACCTTATTAAAGCAAAACTATTTTGGGCAAATAAAAATATGAGGAGTATGGGAGATCCAAATTAATATATACCTATAAATAGATATTCTATTATTATCATCATAATAAAATTAAGAAGTGATAATCCATTTTAATCACCAAAGGTTCAAAAGAAACTTCGAATCACTTCAAGATCCGAGGTAACTCTGGAATCGAAATACGAAAAAACTCTTCTCAAGAAATTTATCATGAATTAAAGAAGACGAAAAATCATTAAATCATGGATTTTTTTTGTCTTTGATTATTACGTTATCATGCGCTAAATGTTGTACATACATTACATAATCATACGAAAATATATTGATAATATAATCGTTAAATATGAGGTGACTGACAACCTATAACAACAGATAATATGGAGATTAGCTTATTGTTACAATTGCTTGATTTTTTTTTATTACGGTTTACTCTATTATTATTATTCATTTTTTTTGCATGACTTTCCTATAAATTTTTAATAAAGGAGGGATGCTATTGATGCGCATTGATGCGCATAGAAATTACATGCATATAAAAATAAAATATGTATACTTTTACACATGTAAAATTTAAAAGCGAATCGCGGAACCAAAGCAAATCCGATCGACCGATATTGATTTTCGATTACTTGGATTACTATAAACAAATACAAATAATAAATAAAAGGACTATTTGAATAATAAAATATTATATACTATTTATAATGTATATAAATCTTTTGAATTTTTGAAGAAGGTTTAGAGCGTAGTGGTAGCGTAGTATTATTTACGTGGAATTACTCTAGTATAGACTTTAAGTCGGTTCGGTAAGGCTATAATAATAGTTTGTGTAAATTATTGGTTTCATCTTTTTCTTAGTTTGTGTAAATTGCTGTTTCATTATATTTTTCTTAATTGGTCGAAAAATGCGAGACATTTTCCGTCATTTAAATTAAGGTTTTTTTTAATCCCTGCGCACGCTGTTCTCGGTAAAAAAAAAGAATGTGACACAACGATATGATTTCGCAGCTAAACAAACATAGAGGAGTGCATGCATAATATTTATTATTTCTTATTCACCTAATCTGTTAACATTTATTACCAAAAATTTAATCATTTTGGTGTAAAAATAAATTTTTTTTTTATTTTTTTTTCATAAAAAAATCTAATTTTCCAAAGATAACAATCAAGTGACTCTTTTAGTTCCATTTTTAGGAATAATTATAAGAAAAACCCCATGCATGTATATATTATGTTAACTAAATTAAGCTAGATAATATAGATAATAAATTAATGATTTAATTATTTCACGAGGTAACTTTGCGATAAAAATAAAATTAAAAAAAATCCAAAATTATTAATTTATATATTTTTTTTTTTTTTAATTTATTTATATTAATAAATAAAAAATAAAAAAGTTCATATAAGATAATAAATTATTAAAAATTATAATTAAAATTAATAAAATTTTGGGATTTAAAATAAATGATAATAATGATAATAATAAATAAAAAAGAAAAAAGTTCATATAAGAAAATTAAAATTATAATTAAAATTAATAAAACTATTAGAATTTAAAATAAATGATAAATTGATAATAATAAATAAAAAAGAAAAAAAGTTCATATAAGAAAATAAATTATTAAAATTATAAAATTATTAGAACTATTAAGGATTATTTGATTCAGTATAAAATGCGCCATAACGATTGGTTATAACGAGAGGGATTTTGTCCAAGGAAAGTTGGAGGCGATATGGATTAACCAGAGTTTGCTTAATTAAGTACAGTGAGTAAGGGATCAATGTAAATCATCCATAGTAATGGTGAAATAATTTTCTTCATCCGTTTCTTCCCATTCCTCGGAGTGGTAGTTTAAAATTCGAACAAGATCCTTTTCGGGATATCTGCAAATTTATTTGTCTTTGTTTTGTATTCGCCTTGGTTGCCGATGCGAACTTTGTATGAGTGGGTGGATAAATATCCTGTTAGTTCCTACTACCAGATGGAGACATTAAAAATGTAAAATTATTCTATCCTAAATTTGCTGCCTTTTGATATAATTCAACCACCTCCTTTTTTAATTTTTAATATTAAAATTAAATATATTAATTTCCCTTTCTTTAATATATATGTATATATGTATATGTTATATGTATATATTTATGTGTATATAAAAATAAAATCTATATTTAATATTATTAAATCAGTATGTGATTTTCATATGTCTGCCCGTATAGTTTGAAACCCCTTCAGTATAGGTCTGTCACTCAAATAAATTATGTATCGGTATAATACTATCTTTACTCATATCATAAACCCATTTGTCCATAATTCTATATTACATGATTTTATGTCGTCATCTAACTTGGCAGTCTTATGATCTAAACTTTATCATGTTATTTAAATATAATTCATTGTTAAAAATGCGAAATAATAATTTAAAAATAAAATAATTATATTGTGGAGGTGGTGAATGCTTCTGGAAACAAGTAAGGGTAATTTAAAATAATTATTTGTAATATTTTGTAATTTTATATACTGTATATAATTTATAATTTATAATCAGTTATGGAAATAATTTTTTTTTTTCTTTAATTTAGCTTTGTAGTAGTGGATAATGGAGTGATATAATCATTTCCTAAGCAGTGTGAGTGAAGAAATTAGAAGTAATTTGATGGTTTACAGAAGACAGAAATGTATAATAAATATATCTAAGGATTGTTTGTTAATAATTGTAAGGTAAGCATTATAATTTTGGCAGTGTAATAAAATGTATAAATTTTGAAAATGTATATGTTTAAGGTATTATATATCCTTAATAAAAAAAAAAAATATTATATATATAATAAATAAATGTATATTGAGTATATTAATGTGTATAAATTTTTATGACCAATCGGTCGTATGAAAGGGAAGTGTTTTTGATAATGAATGCTATTCCATATCGTAGAACTTTCGTGGAAGTATTGTATATTGTATGGTTTTGTTAAATATAGGGCGGGCGAAGAATTGTAACTTGATTTTGTACGATAGCTCTTTCTTCCTCAGAAATAATTTAAAAAGTGAATCCTTCACTTTTTATTTTTAATATTAACCCATTTAGTCACGTGGAATTTCCAGGGAGAGAATCGTAAGAAATATGTATCAGATAGTACGTAAAATATGAAAATATGTAAAAATATATTAAATATGTAAAAAATATGTAAAATATGTTAAATATGTTTAAATATGTTAATATGTAAATTATGTTAAATATGTAAAAAATTCGTCAAATATGTAAATTTTCATAATTTCTATCTTGATCTCTATTTACTTAATTATTTTAAAAAAAGAAAAAGTTTTGAATAAGAATTTTTTTTTTATTGTTGAATATATAGGATATATAGGGAAAGAAAAATAGCTTTTTTTTTAAAAAAGTGAAATAATTTTTTTTTTTAAAGTTTTAAAGGTGGTTGAATGATTTTTTTTTTAAAGTAAAAAGGTGGTTGAATGATTTTCTTTTTTTTTCCGATTTTTTTTTTTTATAAAATAAATAATATATATATATAATAAATTATGAAGAAATAATTCAATAATTCATGTAAAATTTTTATCTTCAAATTTTCTTTTATAATAAAGTTTAATGGTTAATATATATATATTATAAGAGGAGAGATTTTTTTTAAAAAAAATTTTTTATTCTTTTTTTTTTGATTGAATATATGATTTTTTTTTCAAGATATATATTATTATTGTTAATGTCTTTTTATTTATAAAAAAAAGAAAATATTATTATGAAAAATATTATCATTATTATCGTTATTATTATGTATCAGGATATTATTTATAGGATTTATTATATATTTTATTAATTTTATTTATAAGAAGAGTAGAAAAGAATAGACGAAAAAAAAAAAAAATAAAAAAATAATCGAAATTGAAGAATATATATGCAGATACAATAGATATGCAAATAAAGTATTAATAACTTGTAAAAATGACTCAGTGAATCTTACGTATCAAAAGAAAATCAATATTGCGTAATATAGAACAATTTTTTTTAGATCTATTATCTGATATTACAATTACAACAATAACACCATTGTTATAGCCAATACACAAGATCACAGGTTTTCACGTGTTGAAATTATTTATATTATTTTTATTAATTTTATCTATTCCATTAAAGATAATAAATAATTTTTATATAAAAAAAAAAAAAAAATTCTTCAACTTATTCATCTTCTATTCAAAATATAAATAAATAAATAAATAAATTTCATGAAATTTCTTCAAACTTATCTATTCTATGGTATTTCAGTAACTTCCACTTCATCAATTTCTCCTTCCTTTTTTACTGACTTTTCCAATTCTACAATTTCCTTAATACCTTCTTTTTCTTCTAACCGTTTCATATTATTAGCTTTAGAATGTGTTCTTCCATATGAAAAATAAATCACTAATCCAATAGCCATCCAAACAAACAATCTTTCAATACTAGATACAGTTGCTGTGGCTAATAATAATAAAGATAATGCTGCTCCTAAAATAGGCACAATGAAAGGTCCTCCTGGTACTTTGAACTTTCTTGGAGCGTCTGGCGCTGTTAACCGCAATATCATTACACTTATATTTACTAAAAAGAATGCTAATAATGTACCAACTGATGTTAAGTTTGCCAAGACGTCTATGGGAAGTACTGCTGATGCTACTGCGCAAATCACGCCAGTGATAGCCGTTGTTACGTAGGGTGTTTTAAATTTGGGATGAACTTTAGAAGCTGTTTTCGGAAGGAACAATCCGTCTCTGAAAAAAAAAATAAAAATAAATTGATTATTTTTTTTTTGAGAAATATTGAGTTAAATAATATTAACATAAATCGACTGTAAACTTACTGTGCCATTGAATAAAAAATACGTGGTTGTCCCATAAGAGATACAAGCATTACAGACGTTAATCCAGCAATAGCTCCGAGGTTTACAATAATTTCGAGCCATTTCATATTAATCGATTGAACTGCAACTGCTATTGGAGCTGCACTGTTTAACTGACGATAAGGAACTATTCCTGTTAAAACAACACTTAATACAACAAAAAAATAAAAAAAAAAAATTAATAAAAAAAAAAATTTACATTTCAATATCATCAAAGAAATTATAAAATATTTACCAAACTGCAATATATAAAATGGTGCAAATTCCTAGACTTCCAATAATTCCAATAGGTAAATCTCTTTGAGGATTTTTAGCTTCTTGAGCGGTAGTGGAGACTGCATCAAACCCAATGTAAGCGAAAAATACTTCACTAGCTCCCGCAAAAATTCCTGTTACACCAAATGCTGAAAAGGTTCCTTCATTTGGTGGCACAAAGGGTTTATAATTTTCCGGATTTATCTTTGTACCAGCAGCTATAACAAATATTACTATGACAAAAATTTTAATGCCCACGATTACTGTATTTACTGTAGCAGATTCTTTTACACCGATAATGAGTATAACGGTTAAAAGTAATATTATTAGAAATGCTGGTAAATTAAAATATGCGCCAGGTACAGTTGAGAAGGATCCAGTTGTTTCATCAAACGTAAACGGAGCATTTGTCCATGAACTTGAAAGTTCGATACCGAACGTGTCATTAAAGAAATGAACAAAATATGCCGACCAGCCTAGAATTATTCAAAAGGACATGAATGAATATTTAAATGTGGCACAAATAATTTTGTAACAAGAGCAAATTGCAACTTACCCACTGCTACGGCTGCCGCAGCTATTTATATTCAAATACAAAAAAAAAAAAAAAAAAAAAAAAAAAATATAATTAAAATAAATTAAATTAAAAAAAAAACGGTTTTAAAGAATGTTATTCTTAGAAGTTTTACTCACCGACTAAATATTCTAATATAAGATCCCATCCTATAATCCAACCCATGAGCTCACCCATTGTTGCGTAAGAATATGTATATGCAGATCCGGCAACTGGGATCATGGTAGAAAGTTCGGAATATGACAAAGCTGCAAAACTTGATGCTATTCCAGAAATGATGAAAGAAATTACGATGGCCGGTCCTGATTTTGTTGCTGCAGCTTGACCTAATATTATTTATCAAATTTATCGATTTATTAATAAATTATCCAAAAAAAATAAAATAAAATAAAATAAAATAATCGAATAATTTCACTAATTACCTGTAAGTACAAATATACCCGAACCAATAACATTTCCTATTCCAAGCATAATAAAATCCAGCCAATTAAGAGACCTTTTTAATTTCGAAGCTTCTTGATCTTCTTCAAGACTACTCAGAGATTTTGTTGTAAATAATTTTCTGATAAAATATTTCCATTTTGACTCTCCATCTTGTCTTGGAGAACCAGAAGTATAAAATGCATATCCACTTAATGCACTTGAGGACATTTTCAAAGATTTAATTTTATTTGAAGGCTTTTAGAAAAAATAAATTTTTATCATGAAGGAATCATGAAGAAGAAAAAAAAAAAAAAGGAAATTGATTTATTTATAACGAAATATGAGAAATATGAAAATGTGAGCTTATCAATTACTGCAATTACTGATTATCAACGATTCTCAGGGGTAATAAGTTTCTTACCTTTTTTTAGAACTCTTAAGAATAATTAGGAAATTCCCTTATCGGGGCTTCCATGATCAACAAAATATTCTTTTTTTGTAAAATAGTTTTCGATGATTAGTCTAGTCGAAGCTGGGTTTGAGATATCATTTTATTTTTATTTTTTATTTTAATTATTAATTAAATAATATTATAAATAGAGAAAATAAATACAAGATTATCACGTATTAACCAAATTTCTTAAATATATTTTAATAAAATCAATTAAAAAGATATGTTAAATTATTAGAATGATCAGTTGTATCGACAGTCGATGATTACCGAATGCCATTTAAACCATGCGAAAATTATATTAATCTGAATAAATTGTATGTCACCTGAGCACCTAAGATCAACAGATGCCAATTTTGAATGTAGTATAGTTTATATCGCTTATAGTAACACTAAGAATGCATATCGCGTCTTATGATAACACCTTTACACCTTCGATTGAAGATATTCGTTGTAAATCACATTGTGTATATTGTGTAGGCCGATTGATGCAATGAAATTTTTGAGTCCAACCGGAATAGTCTATTTTCGGGATTTGATTCTCAAGTTAGCCAAGATCTTCTATCTATCAAAGTTAATCAATACCTAGATGAGAAAATAACGGCCGACGGTAAATTGATGATCAGCTTCGTATCTCTGCATTCATTCTTTATTTGCCCTTAAATATATACGTCTTTAGAAATTGGCTACCAATTTTTAGGCAAACTTTGGCTACAAATATCATGCTACCTCTTTATAGAGATTTACATAACCTTAAACCCGAAACCTGCAGGATTGAATCATAGATGTCCAAGAAAAAAAAATTGAGTCTTTTGATACACTTTTGGTGAAAATGTTCGTTGCATATCGCGTTATGATGCCTGTTGGAATAGTTTATCCTCGGGAAATAATCCTCAAAGTGGCCAAGATCTACTATCAATACCTATTAAAGATGATAAGAAGGTATGAACAGCCGAAACTAATAAGTGGATGATCAGCTTCGTATCTTTGCGTTAAAGTTTGATTAATTATGAGAAAATATTCTCACTCACAAAATTAAAAAACGTCTTCGGTAATTGGCCATCAACTTCTCGAAGTCATTCATCATTAAGGTGTACATTGTCTTATTCCCATTGTTACAATTTCCATAATCATAAAATATTTGTGATCCCAAAATAGACTATCAACTTAAGAAACTATAAAAATTATTAATTTTCTCAGCGGAAAAACTAAAACCCTTAATGAAAAGAAGTAATTTTATCTTATCTATCTCCTTAAACTAGCCTTCTATTCAAAAGTATTTTTCCGTTTTTGATTTTTTCTTAATAAGCGTTATTGTTTCATTAGATTTAACGTAACATTCGCCAAAGATTCTGAAACATGTAATAGGATTAATTACTGTAACTTTTGTAAGAATAGTTGGTAGAGAACATTCCTTGAACTAAGAAACTTTTACTTTTAAAAAACGAAATTTTTCTTAAAAAAAGCTTTTTCGGATTTATATAATAGTGGAAAAAGTTGAAAGGGATCGATTATAATAAAAATAACCAAAAGTTGGAACAACCGGTCAAGACGGTGGTGGATATAATTCTGGTCGGGAATTATATAGTGCGGGCAAAAAAGCTAGGGATATGCAATTGCGGGCACGTTTCACGAGCTCGAAGGTTTAATTTCTTAATCTTTCTACAATAATATGTGAGTAGATAACAATTTACAGTCAAAAAAAATAAAATAAAATAAATTTGACTTAACAGGTTAATTAACCGGTTGAGGTTTTTTTTAGACGGTTTTAATCTCCAATCGTGTCTACATTTTAACAATAAAGAAATTTTGGTTAATCCTTTCAATTAATATATTATTTGAAATGTGAATACAAATTAATGACATTCAAATTTATTAGATTAAGGTTGATATATTTCATATAAAGTCGCAGTCCTTTCTTACGTATAATGGAAAACTAATGTACTGTAGATATAATAAAATTAGGGTCCGTACAAAATCGAATGTCAAAATCCGAGAAATCCCGAAAAATTGGCCAGCATTAAGCATAATGCTGGCCGGTTAGGGATTTTCGTACCATTCAGGATTTTGACATTCGTCGGGGATTTCGATAAAATTTTCACAATATAACGGATCTTCACTCAGTCCCGATTTTTGAACTTTACCGTAAACCGTTTAATGACTATAATTAATTTTATTTATGACGAAAATTTTTTTTTTTTTTTAGTATAATGAAAGATTTGCAAATAAATTGTATTATAAAGAATGAAATGACCTTTCCTATAATTCATTATGATGTTCTTACAGTAATGAAGACCTGATCGGCATGGATACCTACTTTAGAGCTGATTGCATATTTAATATTTATATAGTAAACTTTTTTTTTTTTTATGTCTGTACTTTTCCATTTACTGTAAGTGCGTTATTTTATATCATAACTAAATTTAATAATATTAATGGATCGCTTCACGTTATTACGTACAATATAGCTTTAAATGAATATTTAATATAAACCACTTTATTACAGTGATAAAATTGGAAGCACTATTGGAAGCACCTTTGAAAGGATTGGAAACATAATTTTCTAATAAAACCATTTGGATTGGAAACTTTCAAGTTCAAACCAAATTTTTATATTATTGGAAACATAAATGCACATCACTAATTTATTACATGCATATATGAACCAATTTTTGGATTTCAAAGAAAAACTCGCATTTAGAACCGGTTTCACGGACAGTCATGGGCCAAAACCCGGGTTACTTTCGGATAATATTTCATGAATATTGACAAAGATTGGTTTTTTAATTTTTTTTGGGAATTGATTCGTTCAACCAATTTATTATTCATTTATTTTTTCTTTATTGTATCAAATAATAAAAATAATAATAAAGTGTTACAAATTGTAATTTGAAAAATTTTTTGTCGGGACAAATTGATTTTTATTATGAATAAATTGTTTCAATAAACAATGGACAAATAATATACTATATTTAATAAAACTTTATTCCTTTGCCTTTATTCCTTTGCTTTATAAAAAAAATTTTTTTTTTGGAAAACTTTGTATAAAAAAATTTTTTTTTGGAAAATATTTTGTCAATATGTTATATATTAATTATTTATCGTACTGCTGCTGTACATATAGATTCAGATTGGTGATATTGAAATTCCAAAAGTAATTAAAGAAAAAAAAAAAAAAAGAGTATAAATTCCTATTTTTAGTTATTGTTATTACATATCGGGAAATATAAAACCGCTTAAATCTGTCAATCTTTTCTTGTTATTTCTTGTATTACATTATTACATGCATGTATTTACTTTGCGTTCAATTTTACATGAAATAAATATTTTTTTTTTTTTTTTTTTTTTTTTTGTCTTACAATAATTTATTATTTTTCTTTCAAAATTTGAAAATCATGAGAGTACAAAAGTTTTGTTTACAGTACTTTTTACGGATAAAATACATCTTTTTTGACGCTCTCATAATATAACATCTTTTACATTATAATAATTTATGAATTGTAACATATTATAATATTATTGTATGCATGATTTTATTTTATTTTAATATAGATATAATGAATAAATAATTTACAAAAAATATAAAATAAATAAAAATAATAAGTAAATAAAGAATAAAATGAAAAAAAAAATTAATTATATTACAAAAAGAAGAATTTTAAATTTTAGTGTTTTTTTTTTATGATCAATCAAGTCAATCAAATCAATCAAATCAATCAAATCAATCAAATCAATCAAAGATCAATAGTGATATCAGGTAAATTTAAATCTAATAATAAAAATTGGGAACTATTAATTGATTCATTAATACTTTCATAATTTGTTGTAGAACCATTTGTTGAATAATTACTTATATTCCTTCTATCTAATACATTTTGAAATTGTAATAATCTACTAGTATAAATTGCTTCTTCACTTTTAACGGCCATAATTCTCTTTTCCTCAATTACATCAATAAGCTTATCAGCACTTAAAAATGAATTTCTAATTTGATAGACTTCAGAATCATCCATGTTCATAAGGGACCACCAATGATTGAAAATATATAATAATTGTTTGGCAGTAGGACGCATAGAAGGATCAGCACAACAACAATGTTTTGCTAATTCACCATAAACTTTTGGAGTTCCTTCAGCTAATTCCGGTCGTAATCCTTGACAAATTTCTAAAGCTAATTTATCATCATGTGGACGATGTGAGAAAGGTGGTATTCCGGTTAATATTTCGAACATTAATATTCCAATACTATAAATATCTGATCTCTTTGATGCTCCTTTTCCTAAAATTACTTCAGGAGCTAAATAAGGTAAAACTCCATAAACATTTGTTATAAAATTTTCAGCATCATGAAATGATGAACTTGCAGGATAATTTAATCCAGTATCTGATAAAGCTGAAGTGGTCTCTCTTGCTAAATCACCAATTTGCAAAACATTTCCTGAATGTATATTCCCATGTACAATTCCCGCTTTATGTAATGTAAGCAAATTTGATATAATATCACAAAGCCACCAGATTTTTTCAGTCCAACGAAATGAAGAAAAATGACGGTGTAATAATAAATGTAATGAACCATGTTCAGCGTATTCAGTTACTAATATATATTCACCGGTAGATGGATCTAATGATATTCCATAAAATTTAAGAAGTTGTTGCATTCTTTTGCGTGATTGAATTAGACTCGATTTATAATAAATCTTTAACTGAATAAAAAATCGAGGGAAATTAATAATAGTTTATACATAATAACAACATAATATCTAATATATCTTACCCGTTTTAAGTATTCATCAGATATTTCTTGAGAATTCTTTATACATTTTAAAGTAACTTTAATCGGACTTGTGCGCATATGTTCCTGCATTTTATTATTTCTTCCTTTTTTACCTTCAAGTTTATTTTTTCTCCTAATTATAATAATATTTAATATTACATTTCGTAATAATAATATATAAAAAAATAAAAAAAAATAAAAATTTTTTTTATTACCTTCCTTGAATCCAAGTAGCTCGATAGACAACACCGAAACCACCTTCACCGATTTTGTGTATATCACGAAAATTATCAAAAGGAATCCATTCTAAGAAAGGGTCAGTCCAAGAAGTAGATTTTGATTGAGTGCGACGAATCAATTTATCAAGATCCCGAAGTCCAGTGTTAACACTTTTCATAGTACATTTTTTACACCATCCATCGATATCCAGATATCTTTGAATATGTTTACAAGGAAACGAAGGTTGATTAGAGGAAGAACCTGGAAGGTTTTGTGGGATCGGAATGTTTATGTGACGTGAATTATTAATTGATGACAATGAGGTTCCCATCTTTTCGAGTAAAATAATTTTTTTTTAGTCTACAAGTGGAACTCGATCGAAATTCCTAATGGTATTTATATATATATGTCGAGAAAAAAAAAAAAATATACATATATTTTTTAATATAATGTAAATATATATATATAAGAGTATTGTTAATTTTAAATTATTTATTAATTTAATTTATAATCTAATTTAAAAAGATAAATAAAATTTTAATCAAATCCAGTTAATTTTAATTTAATTTTTTTTTTTTTTTTTACTAAAAATTGTCACAATGGACCTTTTTTTTACAAGGGCATAAATATATATGTATACATATACATATACGTGTTTATAATATACGTGTTTATATATACAATATACTTTATATGTATTATGTATATATAATATATATTATGTAAATATATATATTATGTATATTATATATATTATGTGTATATATATATATATTGGGAAGATCCAATCATTTTAACGTTAGAAAGTACATAAAAATAATAATATATCTTACATTTAAAGAAATCAAATTACGATTTTTTAAAAAAAGAAATATTTGAAATCAAAGAAAATCAAGAGAAACATTTATTGATTTCTTTTTTTATTTTTTTTAGTTAAAAAACAAAAAACAAAAAAAATAAAAAAAAAAAACTTTAAAGTTTTGAATCCTGATTTATATATAATAAAAATTTTTTTTTTTTAAATAATGAGACGAAAATTTTTTTTTTTTATAACAATTTTTTGTTTAAAACTGCGAAAATTTTTATTTTATATGAAGACAATAGTAAAGATCAACGATATTTTTTTTTTTGAACAATAAAAAAAATCATTTTAACTAATAATAGATAAAATTATGATAATCATGTTACAATATTTCTAACAAGTTTTTTTTGTACGATACAAATTTTTTATTAAGTTTATCCATAAAAATCATTTATTCGGGTAACATAATAAAAAAGCCTTAAAAAAATATTTTGATAGACAATAGGATTTCATAAATTAGGGTATAATGTTTAGAAAAAAGAAAAAAAATATTAAAAATATTTTGAATGACAAAAATAAAAATAAATATTTATATATTCATGCATTATGCATATTATCCTCAATGAGCTACAAATCAAATCACGGGAAACTCCCTAAATTAGCTACACAAGGATGTAAATATATTTTAGGACAGCAAATTAAAGTCATTATGCCATACAACAAAATTTTGTTTACTTATTTGTCGATCAAACGAAAAAGGATTATTGTTATTTTTTAATATTGTTGTTTAAGGATATTTATTGTATAATAATTTTTTATTTTGTGGAGAAGTTTTTGAAACAAGAGGATTTTTTTTTTTAGGGTTTTAAAAAATATTAAAAGGAACAATATATATGATGTCAGAACTAAGGATTAAGGAGTCTCAATGATTATACGCAAAAGTGACAAAAGTGACGCAATGAAAAGATAAGTGTATCATTTGTTTCACTTTTTATTATTATAATTTATAACTTATGATTTATGATATTCTTAACTTGAAACTGTATAAAAAGTTGAACCTTTATTATTATTTCAAGGAAAGATATAGTGAAAAAGGAGCGGATGTACAATTAACAAGTTTTGAGTGGAGTGGTGAAATCAGATGATAAAAATAAGCAAAAAATTATAATATTATAAATAATGATCATTTAAACCTTTTATATGTTACACACCGCTAAATCGCGCACTTCTTACCACTTAAATCTCTCTTTATAAAAGATTATACCATGACAACAAACTGTAAATGATATTAATATGGTAATATTCGAAAAATCTCCCTTGACATAAGTAATCATCCCAACCATTTAAAAAAAATAAATAATAACCAATATGTTTATTTTACGTTCTAATATCACCAAATTCCGATAAAATCACATGTAAATTTATATAATGATAAAATATATATACACTATATGTATTATTATAATAAATATGATTTTCCCCTTATATTCTGAATTTCTGTAATAGAACATTTTAAATGATGATTTTCAAATTTTAAAATTTTTATATGAAAGAGTGGCAAAATGATTGACATTTTTATGCTTATCTTATTATTAACCATATGATTTAGACCATCAGAATTATATATAAAACCATAAAAAAAAAAAAAAAAAAAAAAAAAAAAAAANAATATAAAGAATTTAAAGAATTTTATAAAAAATATACATTAAAAAATAGGAAAAAGCCAAAGAGGGCCAGTTCCATATTAAGTTTTATATTTAGCCTCAACCCAGTAAACTCTAATAACATTTGTTCTTATTGTAAAAAACCATTTGATAAACGATTATGGTGTGAAGAATGTGATCCACGTAATATAATTGAAGGTTGGACGAGTGAAGATATTAAGGTTGATAAATTTATAAAAGACACAATGTATGATGCAAGAAATAATGATAGTTATTTTAATCACTTTCTTGAATGGGTTCCATTTGAGAGGTTAGCAAATGTAGAACAAATTGGTGAAGGTGGTTATTTTAAAGTATATTCCGCTGTATGGGTAGATGGTAAATCAACCTGTATAAATAAACCGATAGATAAATCATTTCGAAGAGTATCAAATCTTAAACCTCTTATGAAAGTTGTTTTGAAAAAGTTAAAAGTATCACATAATGGTATGCCAGATTTATTTTTAAATAAGGTATGTAATAATATTATATGGATTTTATAATTTATCGCACCTGTTAATTTTGCCTGGCATTACGTAATTTTGCCTAGGGATGTATCGTAGGTGCGATAAAAAACAAAACCCTTTTATTATTATTATTATTATAATTATTATTATAATTATTATTATTATTATTAATATTATTATAATTATTATTATTATTATTAATATTATTATAATTATTATTATTATTATTAATATTATTTTTTTTTTTTTTTTTTTTTTAGCTTAAATTACATTGGAATATTAATTTAAAAGATATTAATAATAATTTAAAATTTTATGGGATGACCAAAGATCCAATTGCAGATGAATTTATGATAATTACAGAATTTGCAGACCAAGGAAATTTAAGAGATTTTCTTTCAACTAAATTTAACAGTTTTTTATGGAAAGATAAACTTGAATTATTATCAGATTTATTATTAAATCTTAGTCATTTACATAAATCAGGTTATTTTCATAAAAATCTTCATAGTGGTAATATCTTAATGATTGATGGTTGTGCTCATATTTCAGATTTTGCTTTATCTGGTTCAATAAATGATCAGGATAATAAAGTATATGGTGTATTACCTTTTATTGCTCCGGAAGTTTTAATTGGGGACCCTTATACTACATCATCCGATATTTATAGTTTTGGTGTAATTATGACTGAATTATCATCCGGAAAACCTCCTTTTTATGATAAATGTCATGATTTGGGTTTAGTATCTGCTATTTGTAAAGGTCTTAGACCAAAATTTGGTTTTGCAACTCCTAAAGCTTATAGGAAATTGGCTCTTAAATGTATGAGTTCTAATCCAGCTAAAAGACCAACAGTTGAAGAATTAGATAATGTATTGAAATTTTGGTATAGATCTATTTTAAGTGATCAATGTTATAAAGAAAGAGAATTATTTGGTTATAAAGGAAATGAAATTAAAGCTATGTTTAAAGATTCTGACGAAGAAATACCGGTTATTTCGACTTCATATAGGAAAAATCCTTATGCAATATATATTAGTCGTGCATTTGATTTTACTAATTTATTAAAACCTATCGGAAGATCTATTATTTCATATCGATTATCTAGTGAGAAATATAATAATCGATTATCAAATGAATTAAAAAAATCAAAATCTATGTGTATTAGTCGATCTATGTCGAATGAAGTTTCATTTGAGAGAAAACCAAATCCTTTGTATATTAGTCGTCGATCTAAGTCAAGTGAAGCTTTATACGAGAAAAAACCAATTTCTATGTATATTAGTCGTCCATCTATAGATTCTATTAACGAAGATGAATCTGTAATTTCATATGATAGTAACCGACCATCTATAGAGTCTGATGAAACTACATATGATAGAAACATAATTTCTATGTATATTAATCGACAATCTATATCTGCTAACGACGAAGAAGTCTCATATGTAAGAAATATCGATTCTTTATATATTAATCGACTATCTGCTAATAAGGATGAAATCTCATATGAAAGTTCGCTTATTAATCGAACACCTACAATAAAATCTATTCATTCTATTGATGAGATCGATGAAAGTAATTCTGATTCTACATATATTAATAATCTACCGTCTACATATCCGTCTACATATAATGATTTTTCAAAAACTAAAACTAATAGTTTTTCTCGTATTTCTTATCTTAAAGATAATGAAGAAGGTAATGATAATTTAATAAATTTTTTTTTTTTAAAACAATTAATTTTTAAATGATTTATTAATTTGAACTTTTTTTATTTTTTTTTATTTTTTCAAAAGGCACGATAATATCTCCTTTTCATAATATATATTTTTAAAGTATAGTGAGGCGTTTGTGATGAATTGTGGTGAATTGGTGTAATTAATACTTTAATTATTTATTATTTTATACTTATTTGATATTTTATTTTTTTATTGTTAATAATTTTTTGATTTTTTTTTATTTAATGGGATAGTATTACATATTAGAATATTGTTTAATTTTGATAGCTGTATATTTTCATCTTTAATATAAATAAAATTAATTATTCGTTCATTCTGTTGAGGTTAAATTATTGTAAATCGCTTTTTAACAACTGTAACAACTGTAGCAGCAACTAATGCAAAAAAAAAGCTGAATTATAAAGAAGAGTTTTTTACAAAATCCTGACAAATGGCCCGCGTTATGCTGAATTATGTAAAGTCACGTGATTATTTTGACCAGCATTGGATTACATACTTGTTGGATACTGATTTACCATGTGGTCTATCCAATCGCAGCAGTGATGATTGGTGATTGCCGCTTAATTCCGGTCAAAAATTACAATTTGGCTAGAGTTTAAAATGCCGATTTATAATTTTGACCAGAGTTATAAAATACTGATTTTTAAATAATAAATATGTTGATAAATATGTTAACTATGACAAAATTTTAAAAATTTTTATCAAAAAAAATTTGAATATATATTTTCACAATTTGAGTCTACAGAGGATGCAAAGTATAATTTACTGGTTAACGTTAATACTATATAATTATGCTAATTTTATGCAATACTACAAAACTCTATAGTATAGTAACAAAATATAATATTTTAACGTTAATGGAATATGTTTTTTTCGCGCCTGCGATATGTCGCATCTCCCTTTTTTGGTAAATTTTTATATATTAATTAATCATTTTGATCACATGAATTCGTTAAGATTTCCCATTTTTTAAAAAATCCTAGTGTGAGACCTTATTCACTTACTATGTACTATAAGAAACCTTATACTATGCGTGTTTTTGATCGCTCTACAAGTTTTCTTAATATATCAAAAAGGATTTAGAATGTCATTTTTGACTTTTATATGTAACATATTATAGGGGTGCGACATAACGCAGGTGCGATAAAAAACAAACCCCTATTTTATTATTTTATGATTTGCGCAGAGTTTACTTCATCATAATTGAATTTAAATCATCTGAAATTTTTGACCACTAACATCGTGCTGATGTGTGTTACACGAAAATATTTGTTTAAATCTGTAAAAAAATTTTCAAGTATTTCAAGAATAGTATTTTCGGATATATTCTTGGATATTTTAATATTTATTATGCGTATAGTATGATGTGATATTTATCTGCGTATTCGAAAATTGATATGTATACTCAGCAAAAAAATACTGAGTTTTGCAGTCATAATTTTGCGGAATCAAACCAAGATCACGCTATACTGATCTATACTAAACTCAGCTAGGCAATTAGTCTCAATTGTAAAAGAATTAGTGTTAGTCTCCGTAAATGTTGTAAGTCCAAAAAGTCAAGTAAATATACCGGTTGTAAATCAGAATTACCATCTTTTAGCTAACCACAATAGTGTAGTATTTACAGCCAATTTACAGCTAACGTTTATAAGATTACAACCGCTAAAGGTTGTAATCTGATATATAATAATCGTTACTACGGAAACCAACCTTAAAAGGAATTACCAAAAAATTTTAATAAAGTGAAAAAATTAAAATTTCGTGTTTTTTTCAAAAAATTATCTGAAAAACAGCCTTTTTGACCTTAGACAGATCTCTTGTAAATTTTACATACAGTATAACTGTTTAATATCATAATATGTGTAATTAATTATTTAATTTAATATTAATCTTATAAAATTTAAAAAATCGGACTGGTGACATCTCTATCGAAAATATATTGATTTTTATCGTCCGGAACAGTTTATACCCTGTTAAAGCATCCTTTCACAAAAGTCACCACTATCCTTTTTTCAATTAAATACATTTATGTAACTGTAACTCAAAGTAATCGTGGTTGATCGCAGTCATGTGCATACTGTGACCCTACCAGTTATGACGATGAAAATTCTTTTGATCTAATAACTTCCAAATTCTGGATTTGTGTAATAATTTTGACACATGAATAATGCTAAATAAGCCATTGAGGTTTTAATGTTTTGAACCTAAACGGATTACCATTCACGATCAGAATTTCGTCATAATATTTTGACATGAATAAGTCATTGAGGTTTTAATGTTTTGAACCTAAAAGGATACCGACGATCAGAATCACGTCATAATATTTTGATATGAATAAACCATTGAGGTTTTTAATATTTTAAACCTATAAAGGAAAACCATCCAAAATCCCGAAAATTCAAATCCCGAAATTCAAAATCTCGAAATTCAAAATCCTGAAATTCAAAATCCCGAAATTCAAAATCCCGAATCCCGACACTTATTATATATACTTCGCAAAAATTAATGAATTTATTATTAATGATTAAAAGTTATTATTCTGAATTTATTAATCTGAAAAAAATAAATTTTATTTTGTGAATTTATAAAAAGTAATTTTATTTTGTGATTTATAAAAAAAAAAAAGAATAAAATATTAAATAGAAAAAAATAAAACTTTTTCTTTTTAAAAAAAAAATTTTGCTTTATATTAAATAAAATTGTTATTTTTTTTGAATTGCTTTTTAATATATTATTTAAAATCATTTTTTTTTAAATTTTTTTAATTTTTTTTTAATTTTTTTTTGTATTCATTTCATTATAATATAATCGTCATTCGTCAGGAAGACAATAAGTGTCAGGATCTGAAATTTCTGGATTTTGTCTGTCAGGATTGTGGAACGTTGGGTTTTCGGGATTCTGGTTGTCGAGATTTCGTAGTAAATTAATAAATCCTATTATTAATCGAGGATTTTTGTCATTTATTAGTTATTACTAATAGCATTAATTTGTTAGTGAACTCTATGGTCAAAGATATTAACCAAAAAAAAAAAAATACCAAAATTATTTTACGTTGAACCGAAAAAGGAAATACAATTAATGAAGCCACAGATTAGGCATGCATGAATAAAAATAAATGATGGCTATGTAGATCTTATAGACAATTCCGGTAAATTAATACTGACTGGCCAGATTTGAAATGGCATGACATGTTCATCATAAGGATATGCATATTTGGAAGTTATTTAAGCCACATAAAAATTTCCTATTATTGTTAATTTATATAAAATCATTGTTTATATTCGTAAACCCTACCATTAAAAAAAATTATTGGTTCGGTGATCGATAATTTATTGAAATTTCATTTACGGTTTCATTGGTTTCATTGTTTTTTTTAAAAAAGAATAAAGAATTCTCTAAAATTTTCTCACAAGAAACTTTTGAAAATCTTCGAGAACGTATTTAGATAATAAGGAAATTATATCTATTTTTAAGAAATTTTTTTCTTTAAAAAAATTTTTTTTAAAAAAAAATCATTAAAAAAAAAATATCTACAAATGAAACCCTTCAATCCCTGTGAAGTGGCTTAGTCATTCTATAAAAAGAAATAATTAAGTGTAAATTTCTATAATTAATATACTAATAAATACTCCTCGGAAATTAACCAGCCTAGTTGCCGTAGTTGTCACACAAATGCAGCAATTAATATGTTTTTAATTTTAATAAAACGTAAAAAAATTATTTTTGGGAATTCCGTAATAATTTTGTAATTATCAATACAAAGGGCGAAAAAAAAAAAAAAAATAGTTAAGGCTAAATAAAAATCGAATTTTTTGAATGAATTTAGTAATAATTAACTGTTTATATCTAATTAATTACTTAAAATTAATTTTATATGGTTCGACATATAAGTAGGGTCATTTCACGTGTGATCACTTAATCACGTGTAAGTGCATAACTCCGCATAACTTCAGCCGAGTATGATATTTCCTTGTAGTAATACTGGCTGAATATCACGTGATGTTTATTTCTTTATTTATGTTCATCAAAACTGAACAAGAAAATACAAGTTATTACAGGTAACGAAGTTAGAAGGTGGCACATAAACAACACGGAAAAGATTTTCCGAACCAATTTTAGTATAAAGTAGCGCCAATTTTTTGAACGACAGAAATTTTCTGAATACGAAAGAATAAATTTGTTTTTTTTTAATAAAAAAAAAAATAAAAAAAGAAAAAAAAAAAATAAAATAAAAAAAAAAAATGAAAATGAAAATAAAATTAAAGTCATTGATTAATAAATTAAACATATTTGAAAAAGATTCCAAACCAGCAATTAAAGGATGGACCAGCGGGAATTTAGATATTGATAAATTTATAAAAGATACAATGTATGATGCTAAACATTCTGATAATTATTATTCTCACTTTCTCGAATGGGTACCGTACGATAGATTTACAAATATCAAACAAATTGGTGTAGGAGGATTTTCCAAAGTATATTCCGCAACATGGTTAGATGGTAAATCATCATATTATAAATTGAATAGTGGAAGTTGGAAAAAATCAATTCCTAAACCTATGAAAGTTACTTTAAAGAGGTTGAATGGATCGCAGAATATGTCTCCTGAATATTTAAATGAGGTAAATTTTATATCCAAATATAATAATATGATTATATGTAATTCATTCACTAATTTTTTTTTCAATAAATCATAGCTTAAAGTATGTTGGAATTTATACATCAAGTTAAAAGAATCATTATTACCATTTTATGGAATAACTAAGGACCCAGAGACTAAGGAATTTATGATTATTGAAAAATATGCAGGACAAGGAAATTTAAGAAATATTCTTTCAAATAACTTTAACAAGATTTTATGGAAAGATAAAATTGAATTATTATGTTATTTAGCATTAAACCTTAAAAATTTACATGAATTGGAATATTATCATAAAAATATTCATAGTGGAAACATCTTATTTTACGATCATTATTATAAGAAATCATATATTTTAGATTTTGGATTAACTGGACCAGTAAAAGAACAAAAAGATAATGTAATATATGGAGTATTACCTTATATTGCTCCTGAAGTTTTAAATGGGGAACCATATACATCATCATCTGATATTTATAGTTTTGGTGTAATTATGGCTGAATTATCATCCGGAAAACCACCCTTTCATGATAGAAAACATAATGCTAATTTATCATTAGAAATATGTAATGGTCTTAGACCAGAATTTGGAAAAGAAACTCCGGAAATTTATAAGAAATTAGCTTATAGATGCATGAATGCTAATTCAAATCAAAGACCAATAGCAACTCAATTATATGAGATACTGGAGATTTGGAAAGATTCTATTAATTGTAAAAATTTTGGTTATAAAAGGAAAGAAATTAAAGCTATATTTGAAGAAGCTGATAAAGGAATACCGGACATTTCAACCTCACATAAGAAGGATCCTGATGCGGTATATACTAGTAGAACATTTAAATTTAGCAATTTACCAAAACCTGTTAATTTATCTGTTATTGCCTCATATCTTAATGATGAAGAAAATTATCAAAGTATTATTATTTTAAAATTTTTATTATTTTTTTTTTAAAAAAATAATTTTATAAAATTACTAATTTTTTTTTTATCTTTATTTTTTTTTAATAGATTGTCATGTCAGCTAGTTAGTTGACTTAGCCACTTAGGTCATATACAATTATAATATATTTAACTTAGTTTATTGTTGTTATATATGTTTTAAAGTAGTACATTTTATATTATTTGTTATAAATTTATTTAAATTTATAGATGTTTTTAGGTAAATTAGTATTTATATATTAATTTATTGGCGAACTTGTTTAATAATTATATTTATTCTTTGTCTATAGTTTTTTTTTTTACTTTATTTATTTATTTATTTATATATATACATCTTTGTAATTTATTTTTAATACCAATGTGTCTCTTGACAAATAAAATTAGCATTCAGATTACTAGTTTACAATTGTACCTTCGGTAGTAAATTTGGGAATGTTTTGTAAGAATTCATAAATAAATTTATTTAATATGGTTTGTTTTTTTTTAAGGGTATAAATATATTATTGTATATTTTTGTCCTTCCTCCATGGTTCCACCAATAATAAATTGGTTTATACTGTACTGTATACAGTCAGCTCGCGTTATAACGAATTTGGTGTCCGGGCCGATCTGACTTTCGTTATAAGAAAATTCGTTATTATTATGTTATTATTATAGGAAAACCTGGTATAATACGGGAAAATTTTGTATATCGCGGTATATCGCATTACCAATTGAAATTTATATAATGTGAATGATTTTATGTCATACGGTGAAAATTACATACGCTGAAATATAACTTAAATAGTTCCTAAATTTACCTATATTCTATTGCCATAAGTAGTAACCATTTAAAACTCGTTTAATTTATGAAATTTTTATAAAATAGTGTGTCGTTATAATATTAAATTCGTTACAATGTGAGTCATTTTGTATATACTGTTTATACACTTTACTTCGTTAAACGGTATACAGCATTTAATTAGTAAAATTCGGTATAGTAAGATTATTTTTATGTCAAAATCCGTACCACAGTGAAAATCCGTTATACTAAATAATTCGTTATATCGATAACGCGAGCAGACTGTATAGCCATAGAACAAGTTAGAGTTTATTTGGAGATTTACCGGATTTACTTAATATATGTTGTGCCTCAGGTACCTCAGGTGTCGATTTGCGTTAGTTGATAACCGACGCTAGCCACGCGAGTAAATAAATTACAGTGTTGGCATATGACAAAGTCATATAGTTTCGAAATATGACTTTTGTCATATGGCCATATTTTTTATTTTATTTTTATTTTTAAGATAACGACAGCGTCTGTCGACAAGTACAAATAACTAGTAATATACAATAAGAAAAGAGCCAAGCTACTGAGCTAATTCCTAAATTAAATAAAGACTAGGCTATAATCACAAATTGCAATCGAACTTGCCGATAAAGAAGAGAAAACGAAAATAAACGCACTGAGGAGAGCGGCTAAGCACAGCTATATTATATCATCTCATATCAAAACCACGTGACTTTATAATTCTAGCTGCTTAAAAACAAAAATTAAAATAATGCTGGCCAAATTTATAATGCTGGCCTGAATTAAAGATCTGTTGCCATGCGTCATATCGCACAATAATCACTTTTTTTTTATTTACAAGTAAGCTGAGAGTGACTTTCAAAATTTAATGTTTAATTATACCTTATATTAATAAGAAATACTGTACTATGGACTACCACAGATACACATATCATTCAAAGAATTTTTTATTTGAGTTCATTAGAGTTCATATGATCTAACCATATTATTTCATATGTCGAAAAGTCGAAGAAACATTTACTTTATTATTCAGTAATAAAAAACTTTTTTTTTTTTTTGAAATTCCAAATTCCACAATATTTCTTTATATAGTTAATTAAGCGTGTATATAAATGAAAAGTGCTATGAGCGAGAGGAGAGTGACAAAAAAAACTTGAAGACACGCGACTTCTTTAGTAATAATGATCCTTATATTGAAATAAAATCTTCAAAAGTATTATAATGATAATATTATAACGACATATACGACATACCATTTTTTGGATTCCTTTGATGTCGTTATATAAAACATAATAAATCTCATTATAATGACAATTAGAAAAAGTTTACTAATGACCCGAAGAGTGTCGTTATAACGAGCAGCACTTGTATAATCAGCTGAGCGATTTCTTGGCTCAATGTTGTTAAGGAAAATAATTATTTTTTTTTGCTTATTTTTTGCCTTTACTGATCCATTAAACTTTTTAATAAAACATCTCGGCTGTTTCAATGAATTAGATTATTAAGTTAGCCTGTTTACTATGTTTACTAGCAATTTCTAAAGTTCTTTGACTGGTGCGGGTGGAAGTATCGACTGAATGATAATTAGATCATAATTTTTATCGAGCGGTTAATTCTTGCTCATTAAATATTGACAATCTAATTTTCTTTTTATTATATTCGCTAGTAAATCTCTGTTAATCATCAAATTGGCTAAAAAGAACTTATGATTTTCTGTTTTTAGCCTCTACGAGTTTAAAGTGGATAATTTATCTACTCTTCCTTTTTGGGAGATAAAGTGATAATTTTCATATGTTTTCGTTTTACATGAAGTTAATTTATACAAATAAAAATACGATGTTCCGGGGTATCTTATATGGCCAACATAGGTTTCTCCTTAATTGTCATGTGGTAATAAACATGCACTTATACTGTTTTTAACAACCTATAACGGATTTTATTGATGCGCAGTATATCATACCCTATAAAAAATTTTATCCGTTATTTCTGTAAAAACTCCGTAAAAATGAGCCTTTTACGGATCCATTCACGGAAAATGTAAATAATCCGTGATATAAGGTTATTAATTCCGGAAATATGAGCCTTTTACGGAAAAAAGACGAAATATAAAAAACGGATAGACTTTTTTTACAAGGATAATAATATATATTTATAAAGTATTTTTTTATTAATCAAAAAACAGTAGCGATAGACTATTTTTTTTTATTTTGCTTTAAAAAGTAATAGTTGTGCAACAAAAAAAAAAAATATTTAGAGTCCTTTTTCTTTTTTTTTTATTGCACATCTTCTTATTCCACACATCCTCTTATTCTTCTCTCCTTAATAAATATTATTATTTTTTTTTTGTGCGTAAATTAATATTTTATTTTTATCTAGGGTATACCATTTATTCCAAGGTCAAGATAACAAATGTTGAACAAGTAAAAAAACATTTTTTTTTAAAAAATGTAAAAAAAAAAAATCAAAATGAGGATTACTCCTAATATACCAACATAGAGATAAGGTGAGAACATTAGATTAGACTAACCTACTCAAGTGAAGTCAACCAATGGACCTGGTCGTTAAAAAGAACAAGTGGATGCAATGATAAGGGGAGTTATGGCGACCCTATTGAGCTGGCAGGTCTGTAATGGATACTGCCTCACGTCTATTTTAACGATGTCTAGGAGAGAAGTTGGTGGTGCGAAGCAATGACCTATTGCTGTGTCTTTGTCGGATCACTTGATGAATCATGAGACTAGGTGCCGCTGTAACTGCAGTGAAGCTTCTATGTTATGTTCACTTAGTTGACACTAACCTATTTACTTTTTTTTCAGCCTAATTAAATTCATCAAAAAATGGTAATGACAGTTATTGTACACCAAAAATTTAAAAGCAGTAATCGAAAATATAAAATATCTAGGTAATACCATCTAATTCAAGGTCGGTAAATTATTTTTTGTTGTAATTTGCTGTCATCACGTGATTTTAAAATAAAGTTTGATTGGCTACAAATTTAATATTGCGATATATTGTATTATTTGTTAAAGGTAAATAAGATGGATTTTTTTTAATTATAGATATAATAAAAGATAAAAAAAAATGAAACTTTCCATCCAAAAAGCCATTTAAGAGTCTACAAAATAAAAATAAACATTAATTAAAGTTTGCTAAAAGAGATAAATTAAAAAAAAAAGTACGTGTTTCTTTATTAGATACTTATTTTTTGTGAAAGATTGGAATCAACAAAAAACAGAGAAATAACCAAATAAATGAAAATGTAAGAACTACCAACATCAAAACCAAAGATAATGAAATGAGACTGAAAAACAAAATCAAAGCCTAAGGGTAATGAAAACAAAATTAAAAATGAAATCAAAGCCAAAAAAAAAATGAGAGGAAAAATGAGACCAAAGGCCGAAAATGAAACCAAAGCCCAAAAATAGAATGGAAAAAAATAAATGAAAATCTACAAAAACTAAGAAGAAATGGTTAATTAAAGAATAAAATACATAAACCTATGACTTAACAATTTTAAGAGGCGATCATGCAAATTTTGATGCATAAAGTTAATTAACGCTAAACAGTTGTTACACAGTTTTATTTACATTTTATGATTATCTCCATTCAAAATAATAGTCATTTATTTAACCGGGCCGGTAAATACTAGAATGTGGTAATACGTCAAATATAACGAATAAAAATCAAGATAAGTCATTTTTAAGTCATCTTAGAAATGGAGAAAGAAGAGGACTCGAGGCAGGGACGATGACAATAGGTTCGATGAAACTTTCAAACTCAACTGTAAAGCAACTAGATGAAACACAAAGATTGAGATTCGGAAGGTGTCTTAACAAATTCAAAGATGTATTATTTAATCAATTAAATATTTAACTGCTAATATATTATTTTGAATTATAGATGCACTCAGAAATCTCAATTGGCTGAGCATACCGAATGAAACCCAACAAAAAAAGACGTACATTTGGTAATTTCTGATTTTTCTTTCCCTCTTCGCGGGAAATTATTGGATGTGAGGGAAGATACACATGCCCGGAATAATAATAATATATAAATAAGCAAATTTTCTGACTGAAATAAGGCAAGAAATATGAGAATAATTATCGATTTCTTATCCATCATTGTTTAAAGTTGCAGGTTCCCTGATAGAATTCATTGTAAAGTGTACAAGAAAGAGGTAACACTAAAAAGTCATAAAATAACGATAATGGTAAAAGTTGATTAAACACTGCAGAGGTCTTAGTACGAACACTTCTGAAGAAATTAAAAATGTTTTAAAAATATAAAAATTACAAAAAAAATCAAGGTGAACGTGAATTAATTAACACAAATTTCAACAAGAACCAATGATTGAAAAGAAATTATGTACCAGGAATCTACACGAAAATCATGTCGAAGATCATATTTTATCAATATTTGTTCAGTTGAGCAGATAATGAAAGAACTGTACCAAAGTTTCCTTGATAGTTTAAACTTTACACTTGTATTTTTTGTAGGGTGGGAGTAGAGGAAACAAGAGTAATGCTAAAAAAATTAATTAAAAAAAAAATCGTTAGTATGGTTGGTACCAGAGGACCACACTAACATAAAAAAAAGAAACCTCCAAGAAAAGTGAAGGTAGGTTAATCCCTCCTTCAGGAAAACCAGTTCCACCCCTTCTCTTTTCAGTCTTTTTTTGTCTAATAAGCTTGTTTATCGAAATTACCCTGCTTAGCCTGCTTAGCGTGCTTACCTTAATAGACTTAATAGATGCATGAAATACGATACATATATATCTTTGTTGATAGAAATAATTTCTTCTTCAACAAGTGCAAAAGATTCAATATGGTAAGAAGGATATTATGATAAGGATATATTGGTAAGAAGGATAAAAAAATTAATAGGGAAAAGTAGGGGAAATAAGGTCTTTTTATACCTTTTTTTGTCGTACAAACTTTTGTAATGGGAAATAAATATTTTTCAGATTTTCCCACGGGTACACACAAAAACGCGAAAAATAATCAGTTTCGCGTCTATTAAATATTAAAATAAACATTAGTTATTAAATAATAATACTATAGTATATTTAATTTGGTCCCACAGTCCAAATAAACTCAGATAGTCGATAGCCACATGAAAACGCCAAAATGAAAGTTTTTGTGTCTATATATAATGACTGTATAAATATACGCAGCAAAATAATTAAATGAGTCATTCCGTAAGATGAAATTATAATATATTTATTGAATAACTTTTCCATGTACTAGTCTGTTTACTCCGCAATTTAAGCAATTTTTTAAAAAAAATAACTCCGGTTTTCTATATTAAATAAAATTAAAAATTTCTAAAACAGACAAATAAAGTAATTAACAAAAAGAAACACTATAAATACCAAATAAACCTACCGAACTGAAATCACGTCTAAACAAAGGTTAAACATTGTTAGAGGGGATGGCAAAAATTATGTACCACCCGGGGACTTTTCCTAAAAGTATGTATATTAAATCAAAATATTTTCTCACCGGCCAGTGTATGTTAATATTCTGAGCTTTTGTTTTCAGTATAATCAAATAATATGTTTAAATGTATTTCACTACTGTATTGTTTAAACATGGTGACATAAAAGTCTGCCCGCTCGCTGTATGAGTCGATACTGTCATTGAACAATAATCTTGATAAAGAAAGTGCTCATAACTGATAATATACCACATTTTCGAATTGAATGTGAATGAAAATTTTTTTATTTTATCAATAATAATATTGTTACAACTTATACATTTTGGTGTCTTGGTCCCGAAATATTATTTGGTCAACATAATCCTATCAAACCGCTAGACAAGAATAATCGGCCTTGTCGGTATCGGCACATAAAAACTCGTGGCATGAAAATTCAAAGATCTTGTTCCTAATGGCCACATTATATATGGCCTAAAGTTCAGTCCAAAAAAAAAAAATAAATTTATGTTAACTACCAGTAAAATTGCAATAAAGTTAGTCAATACATTAACTTTTAATAAACTATTTTTCGTTCTTCGCTACCTGTTTCCTCTAGTACTTCCATGTACTTCCATGGAGAAACTCGATCATGACCTTGATAAATGTTAAGATTCGCTCAAAATTTATTCGACTATATTAAGATTTGGCAACTACATTCCCTATTCACGTAAATTTGATTCATGAGGAATCCTAATAAATGATATATTTGTTCGTTGTTGTAAAATATTGTATTGTTTCAGGTCTCAGGTGTGAGCACATATGTTTTATTTTTCCTAATTTTTTTAAAAAAAAAATGTTATTGCGGAAAAAAAAGACTGAGATGACTTGAATATACAACAAGTTCACTCTGAGAAATAATGAAATATATAGGTACCGGTTTTCTAGATGCAGACTTTTGATGCTTCCGCTTCTATTAATTATTTGAGAGAATTAAGTCGTAAATGTTTCAATCGGAAAACTTCTAATGAAGGTTACCAACGCTAATATGGGGTGAGTATATAAAAAGGGACCAAATTGATGAAAAATATTTTTTTTTTTGCATTGTGAACAATCAATAACAATTTGAACATTTGATATAGAACAATACTATCTAAAAATTTTTTCAGCGATTTTGTTCCCTTTTTCTAGAACTCACCCCAATTTTGTAACCATAATAATGACGCCTTTACTAATAAATATAGAGTTCAAAAAAGTTTGCCCTTAATTTAACTTGATATTATTAAGCGAACCAAATTTTATTGGACACTCCTATTGATCGGGGCACTCAGTAACTATTCAAGATACCATACGAATATGGTTTAATAAACTGCTGGCTCCTTGTTGTGAGTTACTAAAACGGTTAAACACTCGCTTAAACTTTATCATCTTTATTATTATATTGATAATTACAAGGAAGGTTAATAATCACACAAAAACTCCGAGAAATTACCAATTTCGAAATGTAACATCACAAGCAAAGAAAGATTTAATGAAAGAGAATTATTATGAAACTAATAAATTAATGATTATATTGTCATACCACAGCGCTAACTAATAATAATAAAGTGCTTAATAATAGAAATATTTGGAAATATTTGGAAAAATGGGGGTAAAAAAAGAATGTTTGCGGCGTACGAAAAAGAATTTTTTTTTCTTCTTAATGAAGAATTTCATTACGAATGAAATCTTCAGTTAATTCACAAACGTTGTAACATTATGATACTTTGATAAAATTACTAAATTTGTTATTATTGATCATGGTAGATCGCACCATAAATTTCTCTTTACGCGTTCTTGTGCCAATAAAATTGAAAAGTCTCAGTATCCTATTTCGGAAATTTGTGACATCTACACGATAATGTCGATCTTTCTTTTGTGCGATCGTATTTTTCTCTTATAAACTATACTAAATAATCAGTCTAATATTAAAAAAAAAATGACATCATATAGATCATTAAAAAATGTTTCTATAGTTTACAAATACGGTTTACTTATTCTAAAATTAGATTGCAATAATGAAAATACGATACTGTATAATATACTTCAATTTTTTTTTTTATATTTAACATTTTGATTTGGCGTATCGAAATAATAGTTTTTTCTATGCTCTCTGACGCAATGAGTTTGCCTTGAATGAAATTGCCCTTTCATCTATTTCCGAATTTCGAAAGAATGTTTACATTTTCTTTTAATCGGAGAGAAAAACTGTCCATTGCTTTCAGAAGCAAGAAATTAATTATGAAAAAAAAACGTATAAAATGACGAACATTTAGCCCACCTTTTTCGGTAGGGTGGATATGACAAAGTATAAGAAAATACGTATGAATCCCTCCTCCTCAGCGACAATTACAAAAAAAAAGAAACCCCCCAACGGGTTTTCCATTTTCCTCAAAATGTACACACCATATATAAAACAACAATTCCCTAATTATTCATCTAACGAAATTATGAAAGAAGCCGCACATCAATGGAATAATACTCCGCAAGATTTAAAGAATTCATTCCTGATTTATGCCGTTGATGAAGGTTGGATTCATCATTATGCCCGGTCGACGGTGCCACCCCGATCGTCGACCAATATATTTGACTCGAATAAAAAAGAAGTGAAAGAAGTAGAGAAAGATTGTCATCAACCGGATGACGATGAATTATTTCGTAAATTTATAAATATGCCTTAGTGCATTCTTTAAGCAACATAGTATAAATGTTTGGATTTTCGATTCGTATATTCGTTTATATATATATATATATATAATATTTTTTTTTTTTATTTCCTTCGTTTTTTTTTTCGTTTCGATGAGTGCTGTTATGAATAATTTTTATAATTAAAATTAAGCTTTATGATACATATATATGTACAGTATGTGCATATAATTACATTGACAAATTCTCTGTCTCCCATTTTATTATGAATTTGAAAATACTTGCTGTACGAGTTTTTATTTTATTATTCCTGCATATTAAAAATTTGCGAATCATAAATTGATTACTAATTAAGGCATAAAGAGATTAATAGTTTTATAATTCACGCGACTTCGATAAAACTGGCTGAACAATATCACAATTTTCACAAAACAGAATACATTTTTAAAAATTTAAATGACCAATTAAATTTTATTCAGGGCGGTGTTAAAATTTTGACATGGTAATTTTATAGGAATTATAGGTATCAATGATTTTATGGTACAACTGGTACGTCGAATAACTCTTACCTGGAGCCGATAGGAAAAAGTGGAAAAGTATAAAAATATTACCAAAAAAAACCATGATGAAAATACATTAGAAAATTACAGGTCATCAGAAAAAAAAAAAATTACTGGTAATGTTTGATATGACCTCCTATATCAATGCATGTTCAATTTGACTTTGCACGCACTCATTAATGCTATTAACTATACTATTAGTTATTACACTAAAATATTAAAAATTATTTCTATAACTATGTTATATGACAGGACCATGTCTTTCTTTGCAATATAACTAGCCACCAAATAGCCCTATAAAAAAGGAACGTTCACTGAATATACATAAAATAATCACTTAATAATTGTTACTAATTCATAATCAAAAATATGTATAGTAATATACCGTAAAAATAACTTAAGATATTAAAATAAACAAATATTCACCATAGATGATATAATCATTATTCAATAAACATGACAGTACATATAATCATATTTTTTGTTTAATGAACAAACCTATCAATTTGATGATCACAAGCGATGTATCATTTTGAATTCCGAGAATTATTTTCTTAAGATCATCGAAACCGAGGCGGCGGCTGGCTTGATTGTTGCCTGTTTCTCATTATAAATTTGCCATTTTCATTTCCAGTTCTCTTTACCAAAATATACTCGTCCTAGAGACCTGAAGAATTACCCACAGAAGAATAAGGTTAATAAAAAAGTTTGTTAAAAAGTAAAATAATAAAAGAAGCAACCAATCAATCAAATCCCACGTGTCTGACAACATTAGTGGCTGTTTTATTAAATTAAATATTTTTTAAAAAAGTTCAAATAAAAATATATACATATCTGATATCCTTTTTTTTCAGTAAATAGATAGTAGTTAATTTGTTGATTAAATTTTCATAAGAGGGGAGAAGCATCAGAAATTTATGTGGGTGTGAAACCAATAAAAGTTCCAATTAAAATCATTATACACCATATTAGCAACGTGATAATTGTAATAACTAAAGAGGGTTTAAATGAAATATATATGGCTGCCTCGTACAGTATCATTAATTAACATTTAATGATAACGCCGGTGTAAGTTTAAAAAATTCTTGCTTACCAAAATCTCAAGTCCAAATTCCAGAGATCCAAGAGAGTTACCTCAAAAAAAGAGAAAGAAATGAATTGCTAATAAAGATTGTTAAAATAAAACATTAAAGACATTTTTACTTACCAAAATAAATCCCAAGTTCAAACTCTGAAGACCCGTAGGAATCGTCTAAAGAAAATAGAAAATACGAACTATAAGTTACCATTTGTTATAGTAATTAAAGAAAAAAAATGAAACATTTTGCCTAATATTTCATACATTTCGTTGAAAAAAACTTAGCCGATCTTTTCGCTATCACGTGTCACACGCGTCCGATATTGTTATATGTCAGTTCTTTATGTGCTTAAAAATAAGCGTTAAATTAAATGTAAGCAGAAGGATTAATAGGGTCGGAAATTAACAGGATCAGCGTAAATCTTATACTAATTTTATTAATTCAATGTAAATCCAACGTAAAAATCCGATCAAATGCGAATATGGTATAGCTCTCCAAATAGCCTATACGATCAGACGCAAGTAAAGGATTAAACTAACCAAATATGAACAATGAATAAAAAAAAATAAAGTGTATAAGAAATAACACGAAAAATAAAGTGTATATGAGTTTTAATAATCAATTTTATTAATGATTTTTATAAAGGACTGTTCTAAAACTAACTTTATTAAATTCTAATTGTAGTTATTTTTTCTAAAGCGCATTTACACCGTCTTTTTATAACAAATTTTTATAAAAAAAAAAATATCTAATATATCGAACAAATCCGATAAATGCTATATATTTGATAAATGTTATATATTCGATAAATGCTATAAATTCGATAAATGCTATATATTCGATATATCGAACATGTCGAACATATTCGACATTTACGACATTGATCAACATCACGGGTCCGGTTATATCATGTGATTGCTGCGCGACATTTTACTGCGTAACATCACTCCCCTCCCAGTTTTCAACTCCGTTGAAAATCTCAAGAGCTTTGGTTACCAATCTTTGGTATTCGGTTTGACTAATCTCTCGGAGCATTGTGGGCGTGATTTGGGTTGTGCGCATAATTTGCTCGACTCCTAGATACTCGAATAAAAAGAACATTCGGGTAACAATAATTCGGAAATGTTCAGTTAATTGTTGCCGATAATAGCTTCGCTGCTTATTATCCTTAGATTGACGTTCCAATAATTGTCCTAAATAGAATAAATTAACTAGCCACAAGATTCGGTCACCAATTCGCTTGGATCTTTCTACGGCTTCATTAGTTAATCGGAATTTTTCTTCAAAATTCATATTATCCTCATATGGTTTTGGGTATGGAACAGCGTATTCTGATTGATGAGCTTTTCGTAAATCTTCCAATATGCGCTGATATGGGGTCATTCTTCTCTATCAAATTCAGCAGTCCTTCAACAATCCTTCAAAAATTTCCAATATATATATATAGAAAATAATAGATAAAAAAAAAAAATTAAGATTTTCATAAATCTATATCAATCGATACATTAATCACCTATTGATCATCTAAAATAAGAGATGATCATCATATGCACATTCCCCAACAATTTTATCATCCGATGTGAATATCTATGGTGTTACCGTCCGACGTTGACAATACGATTTCAATCGGTCAGAATTTACGGGGTCCTTTAAGACTTTCCCATCCATGGTTCGTAATTTAAAGGCTCCGTTGTCCAATGATTCGTGAACATAATAGGGACCTTTCCAGCGTTCCTGTAACTTCTGTTTACCTCGGAGCTGACTTCGGAATAATAGAACCAGGTCGCCGATTTTAAACTGTACATCACAAAGATTCTTATCATGTCGTTGCTTTTGTTTTTGCTGTGACTGATGAATTACGTCTTGGGTTGCAAGTCGATCTCCTATAACTTTTCCGGTAAGTGTATGAATCCGATTAAAAAGGTCTTGTTGAAAATCGCTTTCAGATAATTCAACTTGGGGAGTTCGATTAGCAAACTCGATCGGCAATATAGCTTCCCTTCCGTACATCAAATAAAAGGGTTCGTGACGAGTGGTGTTATGTCTCTTTGTCCTATACGCAAATAGTACTGACGTTAAATAAATATCCCAGTCGTCCTTATTCTCATTAGCATACTTGGCCAATGCTTCGCACAGTGTTCTATTGAAGCGTTCTACAAGCCCGTTTGTCTGTGGATGGTATGCCGTTGACAATTTGTGCTTAACCCCCAATTCTATACACAAAGAGTCTAACATTTCGTTTACGAAATGTGTTCCACGATCAGTCAATAGTACTTTAGGGCATCCATGTCGGCATATAATGTCTTCATAGAAAAAAGACACAACAGACGAAGCCTTAGCATTCGGGATGGCTCTAGCTTCCGGCCATTTAGTAAGGTATTCGGTTGCAACGACTATGTGCGTATTCCCCCTTTTCGTCTTTGGAAGTGGTCCAACAATATCCATTCCAAGTCTATCGAATGGTTGTCCAACTTTTATTGGATGTAACGGTTCGACGCGGCGATTTTTTCCTCTGCGTTGACATTCGTCACAGGTTCGTACATAATGTCGAACATCGGTAAACATTTGAGGCCAGTAATACCGAATCTTAACTCTCCGGTACGTTTCGTCTATTGAAAAGTGTCCGGATAAAGGGTCCGAATGTAAATGGTATAATATACTTTCAACTTCACTTTCTTTGACAACTTTTATAGGTCTGCTGGGGTTGTCCTTATTTTTCTTGTACAGTTGATCATTCAATATGATAAAATATCTCGACTTTCGTTTGATGGCAGCCCGCTGCTCTTTAGTTAAATGTATTGGCATAGAATAGTCCGTTAAAAATTGTATGAGCGAAAAATATGTGGATAAATCCATTCCGTCAAATCAATATGGGTAGTCCGTAAAGTGGTGTCAAAAATGCGTGTCCGATGTAATAAAAAAATATTCAAACGTAAATACTTTTTTTAGTGTTTAATCCGACTAAGTGTATCTACGTTAGAGTGTTGTTTTCCGGGGCGATCTATGATTTCCAAGTCGTAGCCGTTCAATGTCATTAACCATCGTCCAAGTTTGCCAATTGGATTCGTCATTTTTAAGAGATATTTTAACGCGGCATGGTCCGTTATGACCGTGAATATTTGTCCATGTAAATAATGGTGGAAATATCGAACGGCCCAAACTACCGCTAGACATTCCAGTTCGGTGACTCCATAATTACGTTCATGTTTATGCAAAGTCCTGCTCGCATAAGCAATAACCCTTTCCCTTTTGAACTCATCTTTCTGGGATAATATTGCTCCTAACGCAAAAGTAGAAGCGTCCGTATACAATATAAATGGCTTTTCGAAATTCGGATAAGCCAAAATAGGTGGTGTTGTCAAACACGTCTTTAGACGTTCAAAAGCATCATGTTGATCCTTTCCCCAAACATAGGGAGTATTTTTCTTTAGTAGTCGATTCAACGGTTCAACTACTGACGAGAAGTTCTTTACGAACTTTCGATAATACGAGGCCAAGGCGATGAATCCCCTTAGTTGCGTCAGGTCTCTTGGCACAGGGAACTCTTTTATTACTTTTAATTTTTCAGGGTCAGTATGAATCCCGGTCCGACTCACCACATGGCCTAAGAATGGTATTTCATCCTTGAAGAAAAAACACTTTTCGGGGCTTAATTTCAATCCGGCTTCCTCTAAACGCGAAAAGACCTGTTCTAGATGTACCAGATGTTCTTCGAACGTCTTTGATCCTATATTAATATCGTCTATATACACGACGACAAACTGCCAAAGAATGTCTCGTAGTACGGTGTCCATAAGTCGCTGAAAAGTTGCCGGGGCGTTACATAATCCAAACGGCATTACAGTAAATTCGTAAGTGCCGAATCTGGTAATAAAGGTGGACTTCTCCCGGTCCTTTTGCTCCAATTCGACTTGCCAGAATCCGCTCGCTAAATCAAGGGAGGAAAACCATTGCGTTCCGGACAAGGTTTCCAACATATCGTCTATTCTAGGCAAAGGATAACTGTCTTTTTTTGTGACGTTATTCAGCTTCCGATAATCAACACAAAGACGCTTCTTTCCGTTTTTCTTTTCTACTACAACCACAGGCGAAGTCCATTGACTACTGGACGGTACTATTAATCCGGCCTTTAGAAGTCGCTGGATTTCTTCTTTTATAAACAGCTGATTTTGATAAGACGTTCGGTAAAACCGTTGTTTGATAGGAGCTGCACTTCCGGTATCAATACTATGTGTGATTGCTGAAGTTCGTCCAAAATCATCAGACTCCCAAGCAAACAAATTCTGATGTTTGCTCATTAAATCTTCAAACATCTGACGCTGTTTATCATTTAAATTTCCAATATGGAAGGTACCCTTCTCTATTTCTTTATACTGGTAGAAATAATTATTTTCGACCATAGACCCTTCCCTTAAACTCTCTTCAATTTCTTGCGCTTCCTCTTGAGTAACGAACTGGGTATTGCAGAACATTTGCTCTTGCGTATTTTCGTTACTCTCACTTTCATATTCTTCCTCTGTTTCATCTGCAACATCTTCCTCGTTTTCCTCTTCGGCATCTTCTTCACTTTCTTCCTCAACACCTTCCTCTTCTTCTTCTTCGACTTCGGGAGCTTCGATACTAACAATGTGATGTGGCATCTCTTGACATTCGGTAATAACCTCAAGAGTATTACCTTTCCATTTAATCGTCATGAGATTGTTATCATAATCTATCACAGCTTTAGTTTTCCGTAGCCAATCGTTACCAACTATAGCAGAATACGAATTGGCGTCCGTGACAATAGCATCCATTGGTATAATACAATCATGTATCTTTAGTGGTATATCGGATACTGCTCCAAGCGGTCTTCGGCGTTCTCCATTGACGTTAATCATCACGGTTTTTGACGCACGCGTGATTTCCATCTCTAAATCTTTTAACAGGGATAAAGAAATAATACTTCCGGCTGATCCGGAATCTACTATCAAGGGAAATCGGATGTGCTTTATCGACGCTTCACAATATAAGGCAGATGTCTTATTATCATTTGGTCGTGACAAATTTGCAGCTAACAAATCTTCAACCACGTCCATTTTTTCCTTTTTGTTTTCTTGGACTTCGTCCTTTTTTCTCATTATAGGCTTCCTCAACAACTTATTGGTGGCCATTCGAAGCTTGGGATTCATAGCGAGCAATTGTCCAACAGATATATCTGCGGGTTGGTCGAAAAGTTGTTGGGGAGTATATGGTTCAACCATTTTTTCTACAGGGGCTAACACCGGTATCTTTCTTTTGGTGATAGTCTTGACGGTTTTCTTGATTTTCCTTTTATCGGTCTCTTTTTGTTTTTGTTTTATTGAGCGAGTCACAGTTTCTTCTTCAGTTGGTTTTTCTTTAGCGGTACCTTGTAAAGGATTCAATCTAGACTGGCTTCTCGTTACTCGTTCAGCAGGATAGGCTTCCAGTAGGGTAATATTCGAGGGAATTTGACTTTGGCTTGTACACTCACCCTCATGAGGTACGCCATTTAGTTTAAATGTTGTTCATCGGCTCCATTCGGCACCAGCTGTGCCAACAACTGATGAATTTGAGCAAGCTGTTCGCCAGTAGAGCCAGTTGTCTGATTCGTTGATCGATTATTGTTATTAGCATTATCACTATTATTAGGGAGTGTTATACCAGTATTTCGATTTGGGCAAGTTCGTACAATATGTCCTGGTTGTCCACAGGAATAACATACAACCCGACTTTGACCATTATTTGGTTGTTGTGATTGACCTCCAACCTGTGCAACATTCCGAGGGTTTCTATTATCATATCGAGGTCTTCTACCGCCAGTACCTAGCTGTTGTACGTGCTTAGTCAATTCCTGAATCGCCTTACACAGTTCATCGGATTGAGCATTGGCGCTAGTACCAATAGGCGCGAACTTGGTTATATAAGCACTAACCGCGCTCTGGTCTTGATGTGTTAATTCATAGGCCTTTGCTCTGTCAACGGCACCGTTCCATGTTTGATCGTTGTGGGGTTTAACTGTGACATAAAGATCAGGCAACAGGCCATTGACGAATTTTCGAGCCTTAATTGCTTCTGGATAGGCAAATGCATTCGTCTCCACTCTTCGGTATAATTCTTGCAAAGCAGCGGCGTAAGTATTTACGTCTTCTCCCGGTTGTTGTCGGCGTTGCTCCAATTCAGTTGTCCAAATTTCGACTAAGGTTTGCGTTCGGAAGGCGTTCGGAAAGTTTAAAATAAAATCGGTGTTATTATTATTACCGGTCCACGCAATAATTCGTCCAGGATTACCATTATTCAACGCTTGGTTAGAATTCCACCATGTGGACGCGGCTCCTCTTAAGTATGCTGGCACAACCTCCAATTTCCGGGCGTCCTGTATACCATTTGCATTGCATGCTCGGGTAAAGTCTTCCAACCATGCTACTGGATCTTGATTTCCGCCGTAAAATTGAGGTAGATCGGCAACTCTTCCTTCTCGGCGTGGTGGATTGTTGATTGCTTGTATGTTTCCCGCCAATGCGTTGTTGACGTTTGGAAGTGCTTGGGTTAACGCGGCGATAGCAGCTCGCAATTGTTGAAAATCTTGCTGATTCGGTTGAGCCATATTATTATTCGGTTGATTCTGAAGTAAGGGTTCCAAGTCCGGATTTTGGTCGAGTTCTAGCTCAGCTATTCTTGGTAGGGATTCGTCCGAGTCTGATTCAGGTGGAGTTATAAAACTGATTTCACTATAATTATAGGCAATTATAAATATATCTAAGTGAAATCCCTGTGTAATGCTATATGCGTTCCAAATATCTTGCTGTAAAGTTTCGGAATTAATATTAGGTGTATATGCGTATCGAATACTAAATATTAGATCAATTATAGCAGTCCAAATATCTTCCCCTTCAACGTAGGATAATTCTTCTAAGTATTGTTGTGTATAATGTGTATAGGATCTAGCAGGGTACTCGACGCTGTACCAGTTCCAAAAGTTACCAAAATTTTCCGATGGTAATAACTCAGGTGGGTAACAGTATGCGCAAGATCTATCACGATGTCGATAAGTAATATTCGGACTGTTCAATTCCTGATGTAACCTGTCGTGATTTATATTCTTTTGGAAATGGGTTACAAACATACAATAGGTCGGGTAAGATAAAGATTTCTGGCAGAAGGCACCAAATGTTATATGTCAGTTCTTTATGTGCTTAAAAATAAGCGTTAAATTAAATGTAAGCAGAAGGATTAATAGGGTCGGAAATTAACAGGATCAGCGTAAATCTTATACTAATTTTATTAATTCAATGTAAATCCAACGTAAAAATCCGATCAAATGCGAATATGGTATAGCTCTCCAAATAGCCTATACGATCAGACGCAAGTAAAGGATTAAACTAACCAAATATGAACAATGAATAAAAAAAAATAAAGTGTATAAGAAATAACACGAAAAATAAAGTGTATATGAGTTTTAATAATCAATTTTATTAATGATTTTTATAAAGGACTGTTCTAAAACTAACTTTATTAAATTCTAATTGTAGTTATTTTTTCTAAAGCGCATTTACACCGTCTTTTTATAACAAATTTTTATAAAAAAAAAAATATCTAATATATCGAACAAATCCGATAAATGCTATATATTTGATAAATGTTATATATTCGATATATGCTATAAATTCGATAAATGCTATATATTCGATATATCGAACATGTCGAACATATTCGACATTTACGACATTGATCAACATCACGGGTCCGGTTATATCATGTGATTGCTGCGCGACATTTTACTGCGTAACAATATTCAATAATAATAATTTTTTATAAGATATAGTCTAATTATAAAAAAGTAAATAATGTTTCATTTGAGTTAAAAGATATACTAAGAATCTTTAATTTCTTTAATTTCCTTTATAAAAAAGAATTAAAAATAACTTACTAAACTATACTTCAAAATTTGAAAACATTGAACATTTTAACTTATGGAATGAATTTCATATAATACTTTTTCATTAGTTTATTCCATATCAAAAATTGTACAATTAATGTATATATTAATTAATAAATACATTCTATATAATTACATTCTACGTACATATTTTCAAAATGGACATTTATCGTACATTTTGTGTATCTAATAAAATATACAACTCTTCTATTTGCATGAGTGATAATAATGTGATTTTTAGTGAATAAACGCTAACATCATTTCACATTTGATTTATGATATGGGCTTTCACTTTGTTATTTTATACATTTTTCTACAATTAAATACGGTCTTATGATGTAAAGCAATTTATGCGAAATCATAATTATCTGTTTGATTTTTTTCGAAATATCCTTATTATTCTCCATATTTTGACCTTAGAGCCTACTAAAGAGTTAATAAAAATTTAGCGACATTAATTATTATTTTTTAAAATTAAGAAATTTAACAATATTTTATCAGTCTTACCTTAAATAAGAAATAAAATCCCCTTTCTTAGTATGTACAGTACATGTTTTTTGAGAAATTTCTAGTAATAAATATTGTCCGTCTGTCCGATCTTCCATTGTAATGCTGTTTTCTGTGAATGAAAATTTTTTCATTTAATTATTATGTTAGGTATCAATAGTAATATTATTACAATAATATATTTTGATGTCTTAACAAAATAGTAACATTACTGGTATCGGCACATAAAAAACTCGTGTCACGGAAATTCAAAGATCTTGTTCCTAGCGACCACATTATATATGGCTTAAAGTTCAGTCCAAAATTATGATAAACTACCTACTACTACCAGTAAAATTGTAATAAAGTTAGTCAATACATTAAACTTAACTTTTAATGAACTATTTTTCGTTCTTCGCTATCTGGTTTCCTCTACTTCCATAGAGAAACTTAACCATGACTTTGATAAATGTTAAAAATTTATTCGACTTTATTAAGATTTGGCAATTATATCCCTATTCACGTAAATTTGATTCGTGGGAAATCCTGATAAGTGGTATATTTATTCGTTGTTGTAAATTGCTATATTGTTTTAGGTGTGAGTGCATATGTTCTATTTTTCCTAATTTCAAAAAAAAAAAAAATGATATTGCGAAAGAAAAAGACTGAGATGACTTGAATATACAACAAGCTCATTCTGAGAAATCATGAAATATACAGGTACCGGTTTTCTAGATGCAAACTTTTGATGTTTCAACTTTTATTAATTAATCCATATTATGTAAATTCCAAACTTCATAACGCAACTTAAAAGCTTATTAGAATGTAATATTTGAAAGAATTAAGTCAAAAATTTTCTTATGATTTAAGGGACCGATTATCATCGGAAAAACTTCTAATGAAGGTAACCAACGCTAATATGGGGTGAGTATATAAAAAGGGACCAAATTGATGAAAAATAATTTTTTTGCATTGTGAACAATCAATAACAATTTGAACATTCGATATACAACAATACTATCTAAAAATTTTTTCAACGATTTATTCCCTTTTCTAGAACTCGCCCCAATTTGTAACAAATATATTTCATAATAATGACGCCTTTACTAATAAATGTAGAGCTCAAAAAAAAATTGCCCTTAATTTGATTTGATATTATTAAGCGAACCAAATTTTATTGGACACTCCTATTGATCGGGTCACTCAATAATTATTCAGGATACCATACGAATATGGTTTAATAATTTGATGGCTCCTTGTTGTGAAAGGTACAACGTTACTAAAACGGTTAAACACTTGCTTAAACTTTATCATCTTTATTATTATTTATAAGAAAGGTTAATAATCACACAAAAACTCCGATTTTGAAATGTAACATATTGTCACAAGCAAAGAAAGATTACGCATAATGAAAGAGAATTATGAAATAATGATTATATTGTCACTTCATTAATAAAGTGTCTAATAATTTATAATAGAAAAATGAAAGAAATATTTGGAAATATTTGGAAAAATGGGGATAAAAAAAAGAATGTTTGCGGCGTACGAAAAAGAATTTTTTTTTTCTTCTTAATGAAGAATTTCATTACGGCTAATATTTTCGAATGAAATCTTTTTCAAATATATTCAGTTAATTCATAAACGTTGTAACATTATAATGCTTTGATAAAATTACTAAATTTGTTACCACAAGTAGCAGATCGCACCATAAATTTCTCTTTAACGCGTCTATAAAATTAAAAATTCTCAGTATCCTATTTTGGAAATTTGTGACATTTACACAAGATAATGCCGATCTACGATCGTATTTTTCTCCTATATACTATAATTAAATAAATGACATCATGTATTTCCATTATTATTGTTTGGATCATTAAAAAAACATCTCTATAGTTTACAAATACGGTTTTCATATTCTAAAATTAGATAGATTGCAATAAAATCATTAATCTTAATTTTTTTTTTATTTCTCATTCCTTACATTCAACTTTTGTTTACCAATAATATTTTGACAATAGGTCCTTTTTAACATTTAGTAATTTAAACTCTTATCAATCTATTTCTATTATCATCATTTCGATTTGGCGTATCGAAATAATGAACGCACGTAGTATTTTTTTATGCTCTCTGACGCAATGTGTTTACCCTTGAATGAAGTTACCTTTCATCTATTTCCGAATTTCGAAAAGAATATTTACATTTTCTTTTTAATCGGAGAGAAAAACTGTTCATTGACTTCAGCAAAAAATTAATTATGAAAAAAAGTATAAAATGACAAAAATTTAGCTCACCTTTTTCGGTGTGTTGAGATGTCTAACATAAGAAGAGAGATCTGCGCAAATCAATCTTCAAAAGTAGTATGCATTAGTAGAAAAAGAAAGTCCCCTAATGGATTCGCTCTTTATTTCAAAATGGATAGAAGTAAACTAAAAGAAAAATTTCCAAATTATAGCCCTCAGGAAATTATGAAGGAAGCTGGTAGAAGTTGGAAGAAATTACCGCAAACACTAAGAAATTCTTTTACAATGTATGCTATGAATGATAGCTCCTTACGACATTATGGCCGGCCAACACCACAACCCCTATCACCACTCCCACCCCCATATACACCATTAACTACCGTCTTCGATTATAAAGATTGTTGTCATCCGGATGATAAAATGTTTGATGAACTTATAAATCCGGAATCATATACGCCTTAGTGCATTTAAGCTTTACAATATCATATAATTATGTCGTAATTTTCTCGTTTATTTTATATATAAATATATATATTTTTTTTTCGTTTTCATTTCGGTTTTTTTTTTCGATTGAATGCTGAATTGCTATATGTTATTATAACTGATATGTAATTAAGATAATTATGAAAATAAATTCTTAAGCTAATTTATGCAGTATGTGCATATAATTATTTTGACAAATCCACTGCCTCTAATTTTATTATGAATTTGAAAATACTTGCTGTACGAGTTTTTATTTTATTATCCCGCATATCAAAAATTTGCGAATCATAATTGATTAATTCAGGCATAAAGAAATTAGTAGTTTTTAATTTACGCGACTAAGTAAGCATATGACGATAAAAACTGGCTGTTAACAATATCAAATTATTTCACAAAACATGATAAAGGGGAATACATTTTAAAATATTAAATGACTTAAATTTTATTCAGGACGATGTTAAAAATTTGACCGAAATTAAGCACGAGTTACGGCTGAAATTAACAGTTAAAGTGCAATAATATTATCAGTTTTTTTTTCATGATTTTTATAATGAAATTGAAATTCTTTTTATTTTCTAGAAGATTAGCAAAAAACACATATGTAATGTATGTAATGGTAATTTTATAATATCAATGATTTTATGGTACAACTGGTACGTTGAATAACTCTTACCTGAAGACGTGGAAAAGTATAAAAAATATTACCAAAAAAACAAACATGAAAATGTCATTAGAAAATTACAGGTATGAAAACCGCCAAAAAAAAAAAAAAAAAAAATTACTGGTAATGTTTGATATGACCTCTTACATCAATGCATGTTTCAATTTAACTTTGCACGTACTTATTAATGCTATTAATTAATTATATTGTTAGTTATTACGCTAAATATTAAAAATGATTTCCATAACTGGTACATCTCATATTCTTTTTGATCAAGTTGTTGAAAAAAAGAGATAGAGCACTATTCAGTTGTAGCACCATGATTGGACAACTAACACACCTATTATCTTTTCAGGAATAGGTAATTCTCCTTCATTTTAATTTTCATAACTTATATCTTTATTTTAATTAATAATATAAAGTAAGTCTTTAATGCTTTCGTATTTTTTCACGTAAAAGAGTAGCTATTTGTTTTGTTAACATCTATTTTTGTACCTTCTGAACCATTTGACAATATTGTAACTCATTTTGTATGTCGTTCCTCCTTCTTTACTTCATTTCCACCAAAAATATTTTAAAGCCAAAAATATTTTAAAGATCTAGTTCAAGGTTTCTCCAGTTAGATCTAGTTCATTATAATCTTTTTGAAAATTCATTATTATATCTTTGCATTAACAGGATAATTATTACCATAATTTTACATACTTTTGATAAGAAGTGCATAACCAACTAAGACCAGTAATCCTTATTTATTAATAATTAAAGAAACTTTTTAATCACTTTAAAGGCTTCCAAATAGGTCATCAATCATATATACGAGTTAAATGGCATAGCACAGATGATCTCACAGAAGCAACTAAAATATACAACTCTTCTGTTCGGGACTGCAATTTGTAGATACGATACAGGTAAATATATATTTAAATTATGTAGTATACCTTTAATGTTAGTAGCTTAGGAGTATGAGTAATTGTAACTTCTTTTTGCATGAGCAATAATAATAATGTGATTTCATTTCACATTTGATTTATGATGTGGTAATAAGATGCGCTTTCATTGTGTTATTTTATACATTTTTCCACAGTTAAATACGGTCTTATGGTCTGTAAAGTAATTTATTCAAAATCATAATCCTTTTTCGCATAGGTTAATTATCTGTTTAATTTTTTCGAAATATCTTTATCATTCTCTATATTTTTGACATCAAAGTTTACTAAAGAGTCTTTCTTATTATTATTACTTATTAGTTATGATGTACTATTCACAAAAACTAATATCATTCCTCAAAAAAAAAATATCAAAGAAACTCTACTTACCAAAAAAGTCTAGGAAATCAAGATTATAAAGTCTCGAAAATTTATGAAAGCGAAATGGCAGTATCGCTAAATTATTCAGTTTGATTCTAGGGCAAGATTCTAATAATATTTCAATTGCGCGTTGGTAATATTTCTAATATTAGTACTCTTTAGAAGAAGAAGAAGAAGAGAAGTTAACGAAATAACCCAAATGAATATATAAAAAATCGAATCCAACATTAATTATACTTTCAATGCAAATGATGTTGAAAAACATTGTGCAATGATGGAATGTATTAATGAATTAATGAATATTTTTATTAAAATCACAAAGAACCTATGAATAATTTTTCTATCATCATACAACCATTACGGTAAGCGTCTTTTAATATTTTACTCTTAAGCAAAAATTAAATTACATTGTTGATATGATTGCCGTAATTTTTTTCTTCAAATCAGACAGACCCTTCAAAAACTAGTAAGCGTGCACACAGTCATTATTGTCTTGCATCATTATACTTAAACTATATCCAACTATCCGACGTTAATGAATTTACCCTCTTTTCATCTGGAGTAAGTATTGTTTCTTTGCACTTTTTCTAAATAATTTATATCCATTGCTCGATCGATTTGGCCAGAACCTTTTTTTATCACATCAAACAAAATTTGACAATTCTCAAACTTGGAATAATGTTCACTTTTGAATACCGCCTCTACATGGATTTTGGAAGAGGGTTCGCACTATATTCATATGATTACGACCTAAACGCAAAAGTGATTATATGACGTTCATTACAAGCTCTTAGAATACACGCTTTTATTCTTAAGGCATTATAAGGTGGACCGATAATTTAGGCCGATCGTTGATTTGGGGCACATCGTCAACTTGGGGCACAACAACAGCAATTATATATACCTTTCCTTTCGTGGTGAATTTTGAATAACGAAGATACAATGAAAAAAGTCTTCTATCATATGATCCATGATATTTCAACATATATGATAAGCCCCGTTCAACTACTCTATCCAGCCATTTCTCTTAGAAACAGCACCAGGCTGTCTTAGATAAGAAAAAGCTGCTCATATATTTAATTCTTATTTGTTGAATGTCCGTTAGTGAACATTAACATCTATAATTTAAATTATGGATCATTTTGCATCAAATTTGAAACACGAACTACTAACAATAATATATAATATGAGTGTTAGATACTGGAGGGTTTTCTCATGTACTTGAAAATTTATTTAATATCGACTTACAGACTTACATCGATGGCAAAGGATTCTTTAAAAACTTCAAGAAAAAAGCACATGACTACGACTATCTTGATAATATCGCATCTGATGTGAGCGGCTTTCGAATTTGACAACTGGCCAGTTGGAAGAATGGGGATATTGTGGTACTCAATGGTAATTTGGCTAAACTTGCAGATATATTTTTAGGAAGGTTGAGAAAAATGTAATTAATGGAAAAAACTGTTAAGGATTTCCTTGTAAAAAGAAAACAAATAATTGTTCATTAGAGATGACCAAAGTTTAAAGATGATGATTTCAAAAACTAAAGCAGCTTTGATATAGATTCTTAATGAAAAATTATGATCGGGAAACAATCATCACTACACAGCCATACAGCGGGAAAAAACATTTAGAGAACCCAGAAGCCGAAGGGTAAATCAAACTAATAATTTGTCTTATTCTAAAATTATAGGGAATAATTATACTAGTAGTTCGTTCACAAGGGATAGTCTAAGAGTCGTTTAATAATATTTTCGTTGTTATATAAATAGAATGAACTATTTATACAATATATTAAAAAGAAAGCGCTCACATCGATATATTCATATCTCAGAAAATAAAATTAAGTGAGGATTATCATGAAACCTTAGGATATTTAATCATCAACGTGTTGTGTTAAATAACTACTTATTCCATATTTACACCCACTGTTACTTTAATAACAACCAATATTTGCATATTTATTAGATACTTTTACATGTAATAAAAACCAATCTCTCGTCCTCTCTAACACTTCTTAGATGTGGTGGTGTAAATATTATCGTGGTTTATTTTTACTTTTTTAGAATAACTTCGTAATTTTTGTAAGGATTTTGGCAAAAAAGATCCATCTAATGTTTCATAGATGCCTTGATGCATTTTTTAAAGGTGAGATGGTGTGGGTGATGTTGGTATTGGTTGGCGAGTGTGTCCAACATGATCGTTATAATGACTTCGTATTTAATGCAATATTTTCAGTAAAAAGGGAAGAATAATAAAACCATTCTAACACGTGGATGCTTTTTTTAAAGGTAATGTGAGTGGATAGGTTGATGATTGGTGTATCTAACGTTATCATGTTTTTATTTTTATTTTTATTTTTTAAAAAAAAATTACTTCGTATTTATAACCTATGAAGCAATCTTAGATTTGAAAAAAAAAATAAAGCTTCTGATATTTGTACTTTGTATCTTGATTAAGGTTTCTGATGAATTAAGTATCGATGTTCTCAACGAACGTATAAATATTGATCTAGTTTGATTGTATATTAAACCAATTGAATGATTTTTTTCGGAATTGTCATCTTGATCTTCACTATTGTCACTTTTCGTCGTCATCATAGAAAATATCCGTAGAAACTTATAAAGGTAAATTACTATATATACATAATATATTTATTCAAATTTTAATTTATTAATAAAATTTTTTTGATCATTAAGCTTTCTTTTATTACATGATATCAAAATAATCAAGATTTATTTTTGACCTGTGAGTGAGTCTTATGGTGATCATGATTTTTGTTAAGAGGTTAATACTAATAATACTAATACAGTAATAATTATTAGGATCTTTTCAATGATTACAGGGTTTTAAATATTTTGTTTTATTTATAGTTATAATGGGTGTACATTATTTTTGAGTTATATGCTGAATATTTAAATGAGAAAAAAAAAGAAAGAGGATGAAAAAAGTTATTAAAATGCCAAAATTTTCAACAAAGCGATGAAAGTGAGAGATTTATAACGCATTTGAAGTTAAAAACAAGTACAATAATTTTTATCAAAAATAATTACGCTTGAAAAGAATTTAAAATTGTTATTTTATAATGTTAATTTTAGAGTTGATAGTTTCTAATGTATTATTATTCTGACAAATTAAGCAAGAAATTGCAGAAATTGATTTTGTGTATAATTATTATTATCACATTTTCAGTTTCTTCAGCCTAGTTTAATAGCCCTCGATTTTTCATCACGAGTCATGGTATGGATAAAGCGACCGTTAGTAAACGACCACTTGACGTAATTTGCAATATTTAATTTTAACTAATTAAAATAAAAATAATTATAATTTGTATAATTAACATTAGACCAATTAACGTTAATCTTTTAATTTTATTCATGAAGCAAAAATTAAAAATAACACGCAAAAATTTTATATTCCAATTTCTTATATAAATCACAAGTTAAAAGGAATAAGCAGGGATGAAGGGAAATTGCATGGGTTACCACAAATTCATCAGGAAATTTTCCTGGTATTTTCTGTGGATCCACGTAGGAGTCGTAGGATATAAGGGAATGTATGAAATTCCATATATTAATCCATATCATGCAGATAAATAATTTGTGATATACAGTAATATCATTTTAATATAAATGTTAAACTAGTGTACTTTTGGATATAGTGAGTGAGTTTTATACTAATACTACTAATAAATTAATAAAAGATTTTTTTATAACAATAGATTGTGTTTAGTGAGATTTATAAAAAATTTAATGAGATTTTTTTTTAGTAATAGTTTGGTATAAAAAAATTTTCTGGGATTTTTTTTTAATAACAATATGTTGATAGTAGACAATTAACTTGTTAATAATTGTTTTTTAGTAAGATTTTTTTATAGTTCACAGTAACACTAATATTACTAGTAAGTAATATAAATGAAAGATTTTTATAACAATAGATTACATTTAATAAGGTTAATAAAAAAATTTTCTGAGATTTATTTTAATAACAATAGGTATGATAAATTTTTGGTGATTATTTTTTTTAGTAACAATAGTTTGGTAATAGACAATAAAAAATGTTGTGAAAACATTAAAAACTGAACTGATAATGAATTGGTAAATCAGATCAGTTTTGGTCACAGTAATAATTGTCTATTACCAATCTATTGCTACTAAAAAAAAAATCACCAAAAATTTTATCATATCTATTGTTATTTAAATAAATCCCAGAAAATTTTATATATTGTACTATACTAATTTGTCATAAAAAAATTCCAGAAACTGATCTATTATATTAATAAAAAATCTAAAAAATTTTTTATATCTCTCCATTATAATATA